GCGTCATTGATCCACTTTCTGTGTTCCTGTATGGCTCTGACATCTTTTCGATGTCAGTGTCGATCCCGTTTCTTGGTCCCGTGTTGACGCTAGGGCGTTCGTTTTGAAGCGTGGACTGTCTATCTGAGTTCGTGATGACCCAGCCTTCCAGATTTGATGACCCAGCCTTCTATGTTGCTGAACGGATATCAGGTGGCGTTGAACTTATCTGGAACTCCAGATCCCGTATCCTCAACTTCGACCGCTGACCGTGCCAGCTCCTGCAGTGCTATCTAGTTGTTAGTGTAAGAGTAAAGATTCATAGGATCACACTTTAGCACGACGATAACTTTGTTTAATCTCACTTTCCGATTTCCGTCTTCCTCTCCAGTTTCCAGTCTTCAGCCTTCGCACCGACACAACATCCCCCCTTTCGCACCTTGCGTTTGACAGTTCCTTAGAACTGTCGTGGGTAGAGAGCATTTAGACTCCGGTATTCTTCTTTTGCACATTGTGCGCGTAATTCTTTAAAACTACAGTAGCTGATCTGTGAGCTCGTAGAGGCCACCCGAGTTCCGCAGAACTGGGTGACTCTTTAACTTGATAAATTAGTCCCGTAGAACTAATAGGCTGTCAGCCGTAACCCGTAATCCGTTTAAGAAATTATCCTTTGACTTAAAAACCGGGTAGCTCCGGTACATTTATCTACGGACCAATAGTCATGATGATCCATCACACTGTCGCTCACGACCAGCCGATCTGCCGTACTGCTTGCCCACGATAAGTCATCGTGTGCAGCGTCCCGCTCAGCAATTCACGTACTGTAAACTTTCATCGAATCATGTCGTCAATTCCTTGTCTGCTTACTGGCGTGTCCGTAAACGGGAGATGACGTTTGTACTTGGAACACGGGCCGCAACAAATACGTCCACACAATCGGCAATGGTGAAGTCGCACAAGTAGGCCAAACTTGCTTGAGCATACCATACACGAGCGTTGCGTTCATACGGAAACCAATCGGGCGGGTGCACTATGAACTTGGACAACTACGCTAGATGAGACAGGAACAAAATGTCCAGCACCATCACACCTTTATAAATACGAATCGTCACACCTTTTTGTTACGAATCATCAAACCTTTACTGTGACGAATCTCCGTGCCCGCATGCCCTTTCACAAGCGCTGCTGCGACTTTCCAAAGTCCCTGGGACACTGCAATATGCAAGACCGTACTGCCTGCTCCATCAAAGTATTCGGAAAACGGAAGCGATCCGAATCAAAGTATTCGGATCGCTTCCATTTTTCATCAGCAGTTGCACAATCTCGGGATCATCTCCATCCTGGGCCGTCAGCACGTGACCAATGATCGAAAACTCGTCCCGCTTTTAATCGTCGGATCTGCTCCCCGCCTTAGCAACAGAACCACCACTGGAGCTGCCGACACGACCGCGCACGTAGCAGCAATGAGAGAGTTATTTTCCTTCGTCGCTTTGAACGAAGAAGATGCGCTGGTGGAGGTGTGCGTTGCTTTCTTTGGAGAGGAAGGTGAATCATTCAACGATCAGGTGTCCAAGAATGCGGAGCTTGCATGCGCGTATGACACATGCTCGTAGGCGGTTGACCGCCATACTCGGGACGTATCATCGTGGTCCGGAGCCGTGGCTGAAGAGCTGTCATCACTGCTTGACATTAAGGCTCCAGCAGTTTTTAGTTCCGATGTTCTAGACGATTCAGGTCGGAAAGCTATCCAGAAGTTGTATGCGATGGAAGTGATGGTGGCTCGAACTGGTTGGTGACAGCTGCAAGCACAAGTGAAATACAGCTCACCAATGGCTTGGCTGTCAGCGCGAATGCGTTGGCAAATGACGTGAAGTCGCTGAAAGATAGTGTGTCTTCTGACACATTGAAGCGTCAAGATGAACTGAGAGCTATGCAGGAGATGATCGATCGCGAGGAACAAATAGCTCTACTTCTGGATGTAATCGAAGAGCAACAGGGTGCTCATGCTGAATACGTGACTACCGTGAGCGGTCTGGAATGGAGCATTCATCACTGTCACTAGAGGAGTCAGTGCTTCAAAGTCGTGTGAAAGTTCTTAAAGTACTGGCTGTAGAGCTGGATCCCGTGACTCTAGCAGCAGCTTCACAGCTGGAAGACGATGTGCTGGCGACGGAGGAAACGCTTGCAATTCAGGAGAGCATGTGTGTGTGGAAGATTTGTGAGGCAACAACCTTGCATCCCCTTCTGAGCGCTCGATACGAAGATATGTTGTTCGATGTCGAGATTTGCGTGGATGTCCATGTGGGGTCTTTGTCGATGGGCGAGACGTCCACTTCAATTAAGACTCACGAATTTCATTCCCAAATTTTTACGGTTCAGCTCAAGCCAGTCTTCCTTCCTTTCGGGGCGGACACTTCAAACGGAAACCTCCCCATAGGAGAGTCGAAGCGACCTGGGATCTGCCTTGAGCAAGCTGCACTCGTGGTATCAGTTGTGAGGGCAGTGGACCGACGGGTCGCGCAAGCGGCAACGAAGGGGGAAGATACGGAATAAAGGTGTACCCCGCGCCACGTGTCGCCGTTGCGTCGGTCGCACAATCCAAGCCCTGGGGGTCGCACAAGCAGCCAAAAAAGGGGAAAATTTCGCGATGAAGGCGTCTCAACACATTTTCAACCACATCATCGGCACCCTTTACCGTTGGTGTCACGGTCTCCAGCCTCGGATAAGCATTTTGTCCCCTTAGCCACTCCTCGGACGTTGTTGCAGCTTCTTTTGACAACGTGTCGAGGTACAAGTCGCTTTGGAACGTATACGTTGCCTCGTTGCGAGGAACTCGGTAGCTGATGACTTTGCAACTCACGCCACCACTCGTTCCGCTCGTACTGAGATTTAACACGCGTGCAACTTCACACACATTCATATCACATACTGACTTGAAAAGAAGCGTCGCTGCAAGCGCTGCAAGTGTCGAGTCGCTCGATGTGCTGCAGTTTAGTGCATGCACACAAGGTGCGCGCATTACGTCTGCCTCAAAAATTCTGGCACTGCAACTTCTCTTGCCAAGCGCAAACAAGAGGTCCATTATAGGATCGTAGAGCAAAAACAACTGTCCACCAACTCCTGCATCCACTCTTTCTCGATGTAAGCACTTGGCCATGCGTCGAGGGTCCCACAACTTGAGCTCTCGCTTCTGCATCAGCGTATCGCTTCCACACGTGACAAAATGCTGCGTCCGTTCACACCTGTCCACACCCACGGGTTGTGTACCTGAATGTGCCTTTGGCACTTCGACCGTCGACGTCGGATGCTCACGCGGGTCCACCATCCTCACAGCTTGGCCCTGCGTTGCCGCTGTCACAGTTCGACCATACCGAGTCCAGTCCGCAGACGTCAACGAAGCGCCTTGTCCCACTGCTCTCTCCAAGCTCGTCGTCGAAGCATGCACGTCATGCAGTCTCAGCACTCGTCGTCTCGAGTACGTGGCCTACACCGAATCAGCCGTCGGATGCGGCATAATACCCACTACACTGCCTGCTGTTTCATGAGAAAACACCGTCACAGGCGTCACAAGCTATCCATCCTCTCACCCGGTGACCCTACTCGCCGGATCTTCACCGTCGCCACAGCACCGCCAGCAGAGAGCAACAGGTCTTCACGAAAACGCGAGAAAGCCACATCTGTCGTCACGCGTCCCGTCTTGTGTGTGCGCACGACAGCGGCCGTGTCTCTGAAGACTCCTGACTCTCTTTTTTAGCTGCGTCAATCCCACTCAGACCTTCCACTTGGATTGAGCCGCCATGAGTATCTTCTGACTGAACAAATGCAAAGTGAGCGGACGTCGCAGCAAGAGCGGGACGTTTAGAACTGGCACTTGGAATAGACACGGGCAAATGCGTCAAGACTCTGGACGCAGGGGCGAGTCGCGTGCTCTCCACGCAACGAAACTTGCTGGACAAATGGACACAAGAGAGAGAGAGACAGAGACAGAGAGAGGAAGAGAGGGAGGAGGGACAGAGCGCGTTAGTTTTGCTGAGCCTTAGCAAGAGAGAGAGAGAGGAAGGTGGAGACGGAATTGCCTTGCGTGGGACGCAGCCATGCATGTGCTGACGAGTCAGTTGCCCACTTAATTAGTATTCGATGCAAAAAGAATGAACTTCTCGTATTACGTATAAGGCCATATTTACATCAGCCGGAAAAGATATTGTTTAATGGATATTTAAAAAGAGTCTCGGTATAAACTCCAATCAACGGTTGTTGCTAGTTCCTTTTAAAAATTTAGTAATTTAATTTTTTTTGATTTCTGAGAATTGTTTTTTTTCTTATTTAGTTAATTAAGGCTTTTGATTTGTTATTTATTCGACCTTCTTGTGACGAAACTCGACGTTGGTGTGGACGACACCAAACACTCACTCCTCGTTTGTTTCAAGCAAACAAACGGCTCGAGATGCTGCGTCGGGTGTGGCAGCGAGCAGGTGTGTGGCAGTCACCCGACGCGGTTCTATTGCGCCGATTCTGTCAATGCACAGGACTGTGTGCTGCCGCGTCGACAAGATCGGTCCTCGCCACGCGCTTCGGCGCTGCGTCCGCGCGCGCGGTCGCCAGTCAATCAGACGCTGCCGAAAATACGCTCCGCAGTCCGAACCAATTGAACGTTTTATTGTCCAATCAAACGCCGCCCACGACTTTTGTAGCCACTTGTCGCGCGTTGCGCATCATTGACGAGACGGCGCTATTGGCGACGATTGACGTCCGACGTGGAACGTGGCACTGCAGCGACGACTGGAGGCTCAAGACGAACGCGGGGAAGCGGAGCTCTTGGGTCTAATCGCGAGTTTCAGTCGCGAAATTGCAAGTGTACCCATGTGGACCGATTTGTTTTTTGCAGTGTGACGACAGCGTTCTTTACGCGGGTTTCGTGCGGATGAGATGCAGGAGCTCTTGAGACAGTTGAAGCGGAAATACGGACCGCAATTTGTAGCCCGCGTGCTCGTAGACGTGGTAATGGCTGTGCCAATATCAAGATGTTTGCATCTGCTCACGAGCTGCTGCTGTATCAGCAGACGTTGTGGTCGGAGATTCGCTCTGGTACTACTACTACAGACGAGACATTGACGACGGGGTGGAGCGAGCAGAGTAAAGCGCTGATGCCGCCATCAGTGGTTGGCCACTTGATGGCCAAGATGACGCACAAGAAAAAGCACGGTCAAGTGCTGGCGCTTGCACGCGCGTAGTTTGCTAGTGCTGCGTTCGACCCAGTGCGAGATTTATGGCAACAAGGGTTCCTTGAACTGTTTAAAGCAAGTGTGTACACGTAACAGAGTCCGAGGAATGTGGTGCACGTGTGTTCGGACTATGTGGAGGGAACGTGCCGTGCAGCAGGAGGCAAGGTGGAGAGAGTGAGGACACGAGTGCTCGAGCGAGGCTTTGGAGCTGCGATTCACTGCTGTGTAAAGTTTGATGAATATTCGCTGGCGTTGCATTGTTATGAAGTGATGGAAAGCACACGAGAGAGGCTCGTTTGTGCTGGGGACGACTTACCGGTGGACGACGCGATCGACGAAGCTGCAGAGAGGGTTGGCATCGTGGATGAAGTGCTGCTAGCTGATGAAAATATATACGTCAACGTGTTGAAAGCATGTACGGAGATCGAGGATTTCTCCACGTTTGAAGATGCGTTCCGCGGGATGGTTGCTCGAGGTGTAGCACGTAGTGCTGGATTTGGGTCGGCGATCCGTTATTGTCACATGCAGTTGGATCCAACCTTTCTCGAAGAAGTGTTGGACGAGGTATTCTAAACAGAATAGAAGCTTGCGGGTGCCTGGATGTTAGAGGTAGAAAACTACAATGATGCGCTTGGCTGTTTTGCAGCTACGAATAGACCGGACCAAGCCAAGGAGCTGTTCTCGCAAATGCTGAACAACTCGTCGATAGTGCCCGGCATATTACGATGCTTGAGATGGTGGAGAGTCAGTGCAACGCCTTGATCGAGGAGGCGTTTCATCTCATGGACGTGTTTCTTGAGTGGAAGCTAACATCGAATCTTCAGGTGTTCACATCGCTGCTGTCCATCTACATGCGCCTTCGTGAAAAATAGGCAATGCTGTTGCGCTCATTGGTGCAATGGAAGAGCATGGTATCGTTCAGGATGTGAAGGCATTCACGACTGTGGCGTTCTATTATGCATCCCGCGGTGACTTGAAGGCTGTGGAAGACGTTTTACGAGACATGGCGAGTCAAGGTGTTGCTACCGACAGGATGTTCTCTGACTACGTCCTCAACGCACTGTACGGGTCGTGCGGTATCGACATGTGTTTCTCGCTCTTGCGTGAGCTGAGTGCAAACAAGCTGGCGATTCCAGACGGGCTGTAGATCTCGCTAATTGATCTCGGCACCACGATTGGTTTGATTGAGCGCACGCTGCATATTGCGTACAACATGGAGTGCGAAGGCTACCATCTCTCATCGAAGCAGTTGTACGCGTTGATGATGCGTTGTCACTCGGACGGCGAGATTTCGGAGTTTGTGCGGACGTATGTGATGTTAGCCCAGGGCGTGCCGCCCCAGACTCCGCGCTTTGAGGTGGAAATGTATGAAGATTTGATATCGGTGCTGACGCAATTCAGTCGCAAAAACGAAGTCCCGAAAGTGCAGGAGCTGGCTAGATCAGTGGGGTGCACTGATTTGATTGCTTGAGCGTATTTGTTGGTGCGCTTTGCTGTGACGCGCTCAAGGCAAATGTACCCACAAAATAACGGTTCGTATCGTTCTTCTTTCACACGGCATTTCATTGTTTTTTGTTCCATCTATGCTAATGTCCGGTGCCGACGTACTGCTCAAGCTGCTTAAGCAGGGGTTGGTAGAGCTTTTCGTTGGCTTGAACAGCCCAAACAAAGTCCAAATGGCTAAAGCTGCTGATCTCTTTCTCATAGACAATTGTGCTGGACAGCAACGCAGATAGTAACTGATCGATGTCAGCTCGAGTGGCGAAGATGTCGTTTCCACCCGTAAATAATCCAGTGCGAGGGTACTCCATGCTGCTAATGGGAAAATCTGGTGGGTCAAAGCTGCCGTACTTGACTTTGTTGGTGCACATGTTTTCGGACACAGGTGAATGCCAAGCGTGCGAGGACATCTGCAGCCATAGATGAACGCCGAACATGTGTTTTCGCGGATGCTTTGGGCATAGTGGCGCATGCTCTTGACGGAGGTTCCTGAGGGCACATCTGAAGCGTAATCGCCTGTACGAGGCGTTCAAGTTCTCCGTAGATTTGACTACGAGTGCAAACCCCGAGGCGCACAATTCCGGACCCATGCGACATGCAGCCGGTTGAATGCTTTTTTGTAGCAACGCGTTATGCGAAAAGAGCTGGACTTGACCGGAATCCTCGAGGACCTTGTCGAAGTAGGCACGAGCAAGGAGCTTGAACGTCCTCGAATCTGTATTGCCTAGCCAGGCAACAGGTCCCAGAGCCGCACAATAGGACACGGATCGAGCGAGGGTCTGGTTTTTCAGCAAACGCAACGGCTGCCTGAGTTGACCCCTGCGAATACCCTACAAGAGCCAGTGTCTCCCGTCCCGACGTCTCCAGAGCATAGTTGAGCGTTGCTGGCGCGTCAAACTGCCCATGTCTTTCCACAAAAGGCCCAGAACGCAGTGTCTTTGGTCGTGTACTTAACGTGGCTGGACGAGTACGTATTGCCGCGATTATTCCCAAGCCAGACATCGTAGCCAGCATCAGCAAGCACTTAGGCGAGACTGTGGTTCCGGGAGTCGCACACCCATGCGAAACTACTGGCCACCATTTCATGCTGGACGAAAATAGCTGGTTTGTTTCGGTCTGCCTTGTCGTTGTTGTTGGCATCTGCTTGGCTTTCTCTGTACGACGTTGGTAAGCGATGCATGGAGAGGATGTATCCATCTATTGTCGTGACATTGTGCGTCTCCACTACGTAGCCACGCGCTTGAACGAGCTCAACAGTGGACTTCCCAGCATTTGGATCGAGGTCTAGCTCAGCTGCCGTGACTTTGTCGAAGTGCAAGAGCGAGTGAGTCAACGCAAGCAGCGCGAGTTCCAAGCACAGGACCACGAGGGCTTTGTCTCGAGATGAAAACCTTCTGCAGTGTTGACAGGATGACGTTTACGATAATGAATGTGCGGCACCAAATCACGCAAAACCGAAGAATACACAGCACAGATTCGTGCACTTTCGTTCGCCTTCTGTCTTGTGGTCTTCCTTGGCGTCTCCTTTGTCATTTGCACCTCACCAACTGTCGTCTCCTTTACTGCCACCGACTTTCCATCATTTGACTGCTACAAGAGCTCGATGATCCATTCAATTGGGCGAGCAGCACCTCTGCTCAACGTCCGCTATGTAACCGTCATCGTAATCATCATTTTGATTACTCGTGTCGTTTCGTTTACTGCCATAATCAGCCCAAGGGATCGTCTGCTGCTGCGCGCGACTTGAGACCGTTTTTTCTGTCGAAAATGCCACATGTGTACGCATTTCGATCAAAAATAGAATCCGAAACGCTCCCGCGGCAACTCTTAACGTCGCATAGGTGAAAGGATATCAGAGACTAGTGACTGAATGTAGAGAGTGCTGACATAATGCAGAGAGTGCTGACTGGAGATGACGTTCTGCAGGTGTTTAGTATACTTATTTTGACTACCATTTTATAGGCCAGGTAGGTAAAGATGACGTGAGCCATGTAGTCGGTCTTGGGACGAGGTACATGAGATGACCAGACCTCAGTGTAGAAGAACAAGTAAGAGACTGCAGGAAGTGTAGTCGCTTGATGGGTTGAACAAGCATGGAGAATATGCCTGATCGGTGAGAGAAATGCGTACTTACTCGCACGTCGCGGACTTGGGTCGGTGCATCTCACGGGTCGGAGCAAAGGCATGAGCGAGGACGACTTCATTCTGAAAAAATCGACATCAGCAACACTCGAGTCTTCAACACAATCGCATTGACAACTTGACCAGTTCGAATAATCATGGTGAGTGCATGATTCATTTCTCGATCTATCAATTTACTTGTTGCTGACGTTTCTCTTCTGTGTGCATGTGTTTACTAGTGAATTACTATCGAGATCCAGAGCTTATGCAACCTCGTTGAAGAGAGTATCCGTTATGTACTGAGTGTGCTGTCGGAGATTGCTTCCAAAGCATGCGGCATCTACGAGAAGAGCGTTAGTCCCACTGACTGGGACTTCAACCAGCTCACCAAGCTGCGCTCAAGTGATGAGAAGCACTGCACCATTGGGTATAGCCACGCACTGCGCCCGCTAAAGGAAGCAAGCAGGCACAACGAGTGCCGTGCTACCCAAGCAGGTATGACAGATACCCATCCGGCGAACAGGTTCAAGTTGAAGCCTATTTGCAACGAGATTAATACCAACGAGTTCACACAGCTCGTTGCTACTCGCCATCCTGATGAAGATGGTGAAGATAGGACGTGGTACAGCCGGACACTGCTCCATTTAAAGAACAAGCGCCAACGCCAGTTGAGCCACTACGATCGAGCTGATTCGTTTTGTTCGACAATCTCAAGTCTCGACTAGTTTACACTTACAATGTCTTAGCCCGTAGTCTAGCGATAAACGTTTTTAATAAATCTATCTGTTAAACATGGTTCGCGACTTTGTTGATGTTAACAATAAAAGCATACTCAAGAAACATGCGCAGTCACAGCAACAATACTCTGTACTGATGCGACAGCCTTCTGTAAACGCGCATCTATTATCTTATTCAGTTCAACTCGTCTAATTCGCTTCTACAGCTGCAAGTCGAGCCGGCTGCAGCAACACAGCTGACAGTTTTCTTGGAGCCACGTCCACACCAGTAAGATTCACGTTCATCCGCACGTTCGTGGTAGTCAATGCTTTAGATGTAAAACTAAGTCACGATCAGCGGGGTGCGGACAAGTGGTCACGAATGGAAACGTCAAGTCACATAGAAGCTTATAGTGGTCTGGCGCGTTAAAGTATCATTAAGCGAAGGAGAAGAGCTAGTGAGCGGACTCAAGCAGTGGATGTGGTAGTATTGGCTTCATTGTAACATGAAGGCACCCGAGGTGTAAAAGTGAATTCATTGCATGCTAAAAGTATTGACGCAGCAACGACTTGTACAATGGTTCATGCATTGTTCGTGTAGCAATAGCTGCTACGTTTCTCGATACTGACACAGGACGCGCTTTCGAATCGGTTGTTGAAGCATATTTTATCCGTAGTTTCCAACGCCAATTGAACACAAGCAAATCCACATGTCACACGTACCACTACTAAACATCTATTGACTCGTGCCTGTAGTACCTGGACGATCAGCGCCTGTTGTCTTCCGCTCTAATGTCCGTGCAAGCAGTGCCAACGCTCGCGTCATGGCTTCACGCTCGCTCGTACGGGAAGACTTTGTCTGCATGCTTAACACGGCTTGCATCTCTGACTCCTTACTATCAGGTTCCAGCTCAATGAATGCGGCCTCGGGGTAGATGCCGCGAATTACCTCTTCGGCCTCTTGCACCTCTTTCTCAACAAGACGGGTCACATCCTCCGCATACCAAGCGAGAATGAGAGGTAGATCATTTTCTAAATCTTTTGTCTCTAAAAACACCGGCCTGTACCTACCCAGGCCAAGACAAAACAAAACACACGTCGTTAGTACCGAAGAATGAGCAGGACAAAACGAATCACGACGCTTACATTCGCAGCAGTTTCGCCGCCAAGAACGTCCCATCGAAGTCAACTTCAGCCTAGAACATGCCAAAAATATTACACGGGTCAAGGCCTAACATAAATGGCGGTACAAGTCGCGCTGTCATGCTGTCATACCTTGTAACTAAATGTCGATGGTCCGACCCACTGTGACTGGACAGCATAGACGTTATCAATAGACGGACGCGCCAACAGCAACTCGCGGATACCTTTTTCAATTTCCGGCTCCACTGACTGGCCCAATAAATACTTTTGGTTCAAACGAATGAGTGATACTGCAACACCACCAAGCAGCACACCAATGGAAACACTTGCAAGGCTATCCCACAGCGGGTTGCCCGTAATGTGGCTGGCCCCAATGCCGCATCCAGCCATAACAACACCTACACAAGCTGATAAATCCTCAAGCAGGACAGCCATCATAAACGGATCCTTTGTCCGTGTCACATGCTTGTAAAACGACATGTCTTGAGGCTGAGAAGCCCTCAGTTCCTGTACTGACCGCTTAAGCACCCATCCGTCAATGCCAAAAGAAGCTGCTAGCACCCCCCACACTTCCCACGAAAGAAAAAGCTCTTTCGGAGGATCCAAGAGCGACTGGATACCGTGAACAACAGTCACACCAGAACCTAACCAAAAGATGCCTAGTGCAGAAATGAGCGACCAAAAGTACGCAGCACGTCCGTATCCATATTGATGCTTTTTATCCGGCACACCCGATGCTTGCTTCAAGCCCAAGATCAGAATCGCCTGGTTGCCAGTGTCCACGAGCGAGTGAATTGCTTCCGAGAGCATGGCATTCGAGCCCGTCTTGAGCCACGCCAGCACTTTGAGCGTCGTAATGAGTGTGTTGCCGACCATGGCTCGAAGCACCACATCTCGAGACGTCGAACGGTACACTTTACCTGGAAAATAGGCCTGATTCACGTCCGTACGGAGCTTCCGCATAGGGTACGTGGGTTCAACAGCCATTGTCCGAAACGGCTCCTCCTCCTGATTGTCCCCGTCCTCTTGTCCACTTGCGCCATCATCACCACTGCATTTTGTATCCATCTTCATCCTCTTCTCCTCCTCCTTCCTCTTCATCTCAGGAGCTTGTTCAGTATCAAAGTCTTGTCCATTAGGGACTGTCGTTGCAAGCCATCGGAGCGAAAGCGACTGCGTCACCGCGATCGGAGCTGGACAAGGCAACATGCGACGATGACGCATCCAAGCGACAGGCAGCGCGCGCACGCTCTCTGAACGCCGCAGCGACAACTGCAGCGAGCGCAGCATGTGGCGAGCTATTGCCAGCCTTGGAAGCCCCGACACGTTGAGTGATGTGGCGCACACCAGTAACCAGCGCGCCTGCGAGTTTTCGACGGGCTTTAGTTTTAGTATTCCATTAAAGAGAGAGCGAGAACAACAGAGAGAGAGAGAGAGAGAGAGCGTTTCGAAGTGCTACGATGCGACTCGTCGATTACTTTGTCGAAGTTGTTGCCGACGCAGTAGGTGCGCGACTTTTTCTGTACAGACTTCCAGTGCATTAGCAGATTGTACTGATTCAGTGTCCGTTTGTCGTTTCCATATACGTAGCGCAGCAGCACAAGTGCGAGCACGATGGACGTCGACTCGAGACGCGACTGCCTGTGACTGATTACGAGGACTTTGCTCTGCCTGAAGGGGTGCCACTCGTACGTACGTACGTACGTACGCATAGGACGTGACCTGGTGTTTTTTGTGTCGGAATTGCGTGGTGCAAGGACGTTCTGATGATGGCAAGTTGGTTTGGTTTGTCAGTTTTGCATTCCCGAGAGCAAGATGGTGGCAAAGATGGCAGCATATGAGCGTAAACCCACGTTCTTCTCGTTCGTGCTAACTGGAGGCGATGGCGTTCGTGCATATGGCTTTGCACTGCACTATTTTGAACAACATGGAAGAGGTAAGGCGCTGCTGGATGATGCATTGATTGGCACTTGGACATGCATGGTTGATTGGGTTACTCGTGTTTTCTTTGCGATGCAGCATCTGTTGGTGAGGCAGATTTGGAATGGAGGCCCCGCGTACTGTGCTTGATTTCGCATCACCCCTTCTTTTCGCTTTTCAAGGAGATTGTCAGGTAAGTACAAACACGATGATGATACTGAGAAGGGGAACGCTGTAAAGTGCTAAGTTTTGTATCGTTTCGTTATGGATGGACTGCAGCTGGATGTATCGATGCCGACATCATAGAACGGAAGATTCGGTAGTGCAAACAAAGATTGTTCGTGCGTGTGAAGAGTACAGCTGGCTTCTTCCACCGCGATACGTACAGTACGCAACCTTGTCACAGCACTCCTGCAGCAGCAATAGCAGAGAGGCTTTTGTCCAAAACCTAGATGTAAGGTTTGGCTGGAAAGGTGGTCAGTACAACGACACGTCTGCGATTCGTGAAAAGCAGTATCGTGCTCTCCCGAAGCTTTTGCAATACACGAGTGACTCCCTTAAGGGCAAGACATTACATGTCAGGGTTCATAAGCAGGACTTAGTTTGCTACCATGTGCAGCGAGGGAACGCTGTGCACTTGGACGACTACTGTTTTCAGATGCTGTTTCAGTGCTTGAGTCTCAAGAACGTCATTTACATTGTCAACTGTTTGCTTCTTGAACAGCGCGTACTGGTTCATTCCAGTGTACGAGCCTTATATTCATTTGCGTTGGATTGTTTCGCAATGGACGTGGCTAAGCTAACTTGCTTGGTGTATGATTCAGTTTCAGGGCCTTCTTACACCGATCTGCGAGGCGCTGTGTGCCTTGCTGTTTCCGTTTTGCTGGAAACATGTGTATATCCCATTTCTGCCTGTGAAGCTGATCGAATATCTGCAGGTACGCAACCAAGACGAGATGGGTTTTAGTGTTTTTGCCATGGCATTACTAACTGCAATCCTGTAAATGAAATTGTTTGACAATAGGCACCTGTACCGTACTTTATCGGACTACATACCAGCTCATTAGCTACTCAGGTGGGGGCAGAAATGTTCGCATCGTGTGTCGTCGTACACTTGGACAAAGATAAAGTCGTATCTCCGATTTCCTCCCGAGTCGAAGATTCGTTTGTAGAATGGGTCCTACCCCGATTACCCGCAACTGAAGTAGCGGCCGTCCTGGATTTGCTTGAAAATGTCGTCCCAAGTCCTATCGGACACATCTCTCCTCACTTGCATCCCACTCCAGAGTGTCACCGATCTGCTTCCGACGCAGTCAACGAGGTCGAATTGACATTTGGTGAGGGACCGGTACGTACCCATCTATTAGACATGGTAAGAAGAAAGGGGTCTCTGATTGTATGTACTGTGCTTGCATCAAGCTTGGGATCACGTTCGAGTCGACGCATCTTCGTCTTCTAGCGGCCAGTAACTTTGATTCCAAGCGCCAGCTGGGTGGGTCTGCAGTCGTGAAGTCGCTGCCCAGGCTGCTGAATGGACTTGCAGGTCCAGCAGAAAATTCGGGGCTGGTATCCGCTGGGAGTTATCTGATCGGGATCAATGGTCATTCCACGCTGGACCTGACGTTTGAGGAGACTATCAATTACTTGCAATGTGCAAGCCGTCCAATCCGCTTGCGGTTCTTAAATGCGGCACTTCCATACAAGAACGCTTGCAGTTTCGCTGACCGACTGCAAGCTTTGTCGCCGGTGTCAGCTATGCAGACCACGTCGGAGAATTACTCGCTATCGTGGGTGGATAAGCTTCGTGGAGTCTTTGCTGCTATGTTTGCGAGCATATGTCGTGACTATCAACGCTTTGTTAACAGTCACGGTCAGGAACCCGATACTTTCATCGATGACAGACAGCACGCGCTTCCGACAGGTGAAGACTACGATCGCATACGACGCTGTTCTTCAGCGCCTTCTTCGTTTACGCAGTTTGACCACAAGTCATTTTGTGACGCGGTGCCCTCGAATCGGAGATTCCTGCTCGAGTTCACTCAGACACAATGTTTCGCTAATTTTTTGAACGAGAGCATTTTCGACATGCAAGCGATAGCTGGATCCACTTCGTACGCGTTTTTTCACGAGTGTATACATCTCATTCGCGAGTCCAGCAATGCGAGGGAAGCTATCGTGCTTTTGTTTGGGCGGGATGGTTCACCAACAGAGACAGCAGTGATCGATTTGTCTTAGTGACATGACCAGAAGGCAGTCATGGCATGAGAGAGAAACTGTGTTTGCGAGGATAGCGAAGCAAACTACTCCAGCAAGCCCAGTTTAAGCTTTGGGCGCATGTGGCGGAGCTCGGCAAACACTGTCGTCATCTTTTCCTCGTTCTCGCCAAACGTGGAAGTTAAAACACGCTTGGAACGGTAGAGTTGTCCGAATGGGATCCGCTGGGTGCTGTCTGGACTGGGACTGTCATTACTGCTGTCGCAGGTGCAATGACTGCTACAACGTCTACTGGTGCTACTGCTGCTTCTGGATGTCATCTGCACCATTGGTTCCAGCACTGTTTGTCCGCTGGGTAGTGGCGAACATGTCGACAGGGACGAGTCAGAAGCGACAGGCTTGTGGTAGGAGATGACGTTGTGTCCATCTCGACTGGCGAACAACAGAGCGACCACGGCAGCAGAAGTAGTGAAGACACACACTGTGTCCTTTGTACTGTTGCATGCACATGGAGACGATGGAATTGAGTCATCCCAATTCGGACTCAGTGATGCTAAATCTGAGTCGGAGAATCGAGGCAACGTCCTCGTTCCCACGTGGCTTCGAGAAAACTGCCAACTGTGTCTGTAAATCTTTTTGATGGGAAGCTCATTGACCGAAGTAACATTTCAGTCGATTGCCTGACAGAGCTCTATCCTGCCGATAAGGGAAAGGCCTTTGGCAGGTTTGTGTGGGCGTCTATCGTCAAGAAGGCTGTTTCATTGACCCTTGCTGGAAGCATGGATGTGATGCGCAAAGGAGCTTTAGGTACAGTGTTTCCATATTTGGCCATGACGTACGGAATGATTAGTTAACGATGAATACGTGTGCTCATTGTGTTTCTTGTAGGTACGCTCAAGCTAATCGGCTTGTCCCTCTATACCACTGCTGTGTTGAGCGGAATGGATAACTTCCAGGATGTGACAATTGAGAGTTTCAACCTGCCAGGGACTGGTGCCGCGGCAGATCACGAAGAACCCACCTTGACACAAGTTGAAATCGTCAACCCGTCCGTCACAGTTTCCATCGGTACTCTAACGATGGACCTGAGTTTACGTACACCGCGAGAGAAATTCGGAGTTCTCTACGGGACGATGAATCTGGCCCCCGGGAGGAACCGGCTGGAAATGAACGGTCTCTTGAAACTGAAAAAAAGATGAAGCTGGAAAAATCAGTGATGCCGTGGCCGGATTTTTTTTTACTTGTTTGAACGGAAAGAGCTCTCAAGTGGTTGTTGAGATCACAGACACGGAGTATACGAACTGTGTTTGGATGCGAGAGGCGCTGGTGGAATTGAAGAGTGCAACCAGCTTTCCAGGAGTCGAGAAAGGCTTCCAGATGATCTCGGACATTAAAATGAATCAACTGGATGTCATTCTGGACGAAGTCTTGCCTGGTGAGAGACGACTAGTGACCAATACGCGCATGCGAGCTCGCACAGACATGATAGCGAAGGTGCAAATGCCAGAAGCCGTCAACGTTTCATTGCAGATATCCAACACGTCGGTCGCACTTACTCTCCAAACGAAGAAGGGCATCGCCTCGGGTCGTTGGTATCAGGTCGTGAAAGCTGTGGATAGAACCAAACAAATGATGGAGCATTCCGCTTAAACATGAGCAACTGTTATTCCATCGGGTTCAGTAGCCTCGATAATGTCAGTGGAACGTCTGGATTTATTGAAGACTTGCTTACGAAGAATGGTAGCGTCATAATGTGATTGGCAAGCGACATCTCTTCGACCCAAGGAGCGTTCCCGGATGTTCAGACAAAATGGGCATGCTCGCACTTTGCGATATTCCTATTCAGGGCGAGCCACTTCTGCTGGCGATGGATTCTTTTCGCCATCCGCCGGTCAAGGTCGTTACTGTCGACATCTGTCAAGGTTCGAAAGCGTCGATGGTGATGTCAATGGAGTTCTCCCTGTACAATCCTTCAAGTGTTCGGACAAAGTTAGGCTCACTGATGCTCGACGTTTTTTCGATCGAGCGCGAATGGGATTTGCAGAGACCTCAAATTTTAGTCTGAACTGCTGCGGCAAATTGACGATTCTCCGCGGTGCTTTTGTATACGATCTGCAGTCAAGCGATTCCACCACTGCGGAGAGATTCCTGTCGAGCTTTGTTTGCGGTTACTTCACACACGGAGCTGCCCAGGAGGTATACCTTTTCCTTAGCCGTCTCTAACCTTCTAGTATTATGATCTTGTGTTATTTGGTTGCTGTCCGTACTCGTAGATTGACATCAGGGGATCATCGGAAAGCACAACGCTGGATTTACTTCGGCCAGCGATGAACGCTCTTTCGATTCCCTCGAAGCTGCCTACTTTGGCCGAGCTGTTCCCGTCGACGCCAACCCTCGTCACATCGTCGTTGTTGTACATTCCATCGACTTTGCATCTCACACGGATCCCGACATCTTGACAAAGTGAAAACGAAAGAAGTTATGGTCACCTTCCTCTCTCGGTGGCAGATAGTTGTCCCCGATCTAACTTCTCTCCGGCGTCAATCGGTTATGTGTCGTTAGCGCACTATGGCGTTGGCAGCATTGCTGTGCGAGACCATTCTCTTGTTCTCCTAATCATATTTGTCTTCTCGAAACATCCACAACATCAACGAGTAGCTTTTGCATGCATCAACACAGCATCAACTTCATTTCTGGTACACAATACACACAACCCGTTCTCTAGCCGCAAACGACTTGTAACGGATACGTAAAATCCCAGAGCTTGATTGGATTCGCTCGACTGTGTCACTTGTCTCGATGGGCACGCTTCAGGGCCTTCTCCTCTATCCTTTTTCTGGTCACCTACTCATCGAGCATCTAAACTTGTCAGGTGTTTGCTTCAAAACACCCGTTTCCTACCGTGACATCGGATTATGGGAATGCGGGACGTCAAGTCGTAAAAGGGAGAGTGTCGTTCGCGCAAGAGCATCGGATGCAGCAACTACAAAAGTCGTTGGCATTGTTCGCAACTAGCACGAGATGAACAGCAATGTCTTCCAAACGTAATCAGAGGGCCAACTTGACAGTTCTTTGCCGTCCTGTGGGAGCCGCGTGCTTCGAATCGTGTACAAGCGCAATTGTAAGAATGATAGTGTTCTCAACAGTATTGTCTTAGAGATGTACCGCCATGAGAGTCGACACCCTGCAATTAGTTGCTCCCTGTCTGTACTGCATCGCTCCTTTTTTTCGTTTCCATATCGACCTGGTGCACATTTACCACGTCACTATTTCCGTGCTGTGTCTGTCAAGTTCCACAGGGGTGGAGTCGTGAAGTTCCGATACCACCTCAGCACCAACTATTGCTGAAACGCGTACATTCAATTTGAAATGACATCTAATTCATTCATAGGTACAGACAGAACTGCTAGAGCACAGGTGGCCTCCAGTCAATAAAACATGGCCGCTACCAGGGTGAAATGGGCTCATCTCTATAGCATTGTCGCGTCGCCCTCAAAACTAGTTGGTGTCAATTTTATCACATCGTCGGCTTTGCAGGACTCGACCTTTTTATCGACTTTGCTGTAGATCCCTACAAAACATGCTGCCTGCACAACTCAAGTCGGTATCCGACGACAGCTACTGCAGTTACGCATCAGACGCTGATTTCAACACCCTCTCGATAGCGTGAGTAAATTTGTGCGACCATTCTCGAAGCAGCATCGAATCGCGTCTTACCGTTGTCTTCCAGCGCTTCCAACTGCTACTAGCAATCCAAGGAGCTGGCACTGGTCTTGGAGCCGTTCATAGCACTTGGCACGGCCCCCATTGGTAGTCGCACATACGCGGTAACATGACCCAGCTAAAAAGTGATCGCCGACGCACAAAGCGTCAGAGAACGGGTTTCCAGCCACATCGATAGCCGTGCCACCGGCTGGCCAACCTTCTTCAGCTCTCGTAGATGCTGACGCGTTTCCAGAAGCCTGACACCCAGATTTGGTAGTCAGCCACCACGACAATTGTTGCTATGCACAGCTGCAGTACTTAACATGAACGCAACTGCTGCATCTAGCGCAATTGTCAACACATAATGCTACGTCGTGAAGTAGATGGCTAACTGCTTTATGTCACCAACTCGTTGCACACCAAGAACGCTCTACGCGCAAAAAGGATAGCATAGTCTTCACGTACTATCAAGGCAAGCGTGATAGCAACTTGCATTTCTTGAGTTTACGTGGATCAGCAGGCAGCGTCATGATGCTTATGTGCTGTTGGTCGTGCAGTTTTTGCTGGTGGGCTAGACGTAACAAAGCTGTTTGCCACTCATGCTGCTTTGTACTCAAAACCGAAAATTGACATGGTTTCTGTGGGTTCTATGTTGGAGCACATCCTTTACAACATAGTGAGAAGCGAATCTTCGATGCTCACGATCATCATCCAGCCATGTTGAACCCTTTATTGCCACCAGCGCAATGCCGTCTAAATGTTCTGACAGAACAGTAGCACCTGTAATCTATGGTCGATCATTTTTGTATGTGATGGTGTTTTACACACTGTAGCGCAAGCAGCCATGAGTCATTTTCTTTTAAGGAGGCTGATGGATGCTTTTCATTGCAAACTCCCGAAAGGAGCAGTGAATATATTGAATGATGAGGAACGTTATCACGACAGAAGAGCGTCGCTTCTGCTTATCATTTGTTGCCACTGTTTGTCGGAGTCAAGAACAAAAACGCCCTCCCCCCCGACAACGCGATGAAACAGCAGAGAAGTCGCTTCAACAAAATTAGCGGTTCGCATCCACGTCATTATCTACGGGCAATTTACTTAAAATTTACATACCGTTGGACGCGGTCTCATCAACCTGGAAGACCTACGTATCGCAGAGCAATATTAAGTCCTTTTACGCAGCACATCTTCTCGGTGGTAGACCATCACCACCAACAAGAAATTGTCATGTCACACTTTACACCAAGTTGCGCACGTTGGCCACGCTGCGAAGTGGTAGTATCTCTCGAGCTGAGATCCTGAAAACAGAAGTTCGCGACTGCGTATATGGTACCACAGGATGACTGACTTACACGGATAATCACCGCAAAAACTGAACCCTTTTCATAATAGCGTCCGTGTCGCGGGGCACTCGCATCGAAGCGAAATCGCCACGAGTCACGGCAGTGTCAACAGCGACACGACTGAGAACATCTTCAGCCACCAAATTTGTAAGTAGGAGATCGTCTTCAGCAGACCACATGCCCAATGGCATTGCACCTTTCAGAAAACTTCTGGCCATATCAGGGTCCCCACTGCAATAGTAGATGGCGTGCACCACAGCCTGTATATCTTGATGTGTATCGAATTGGAGCTGGCAGATAATGTGATCAGCTTCCTCGTCCGTAGCTTGCTCCTCCACCGTCTCTATTCGCGGTGATCTACTGCGAGCTTCACTGCTTCTTTCTCTCACAATGTCAGTTGTTGACCCATCAGTGGTGTTCAACCGGGTGACCGCGGATCCAGTACTACTAGCATGGCTTTCTGCAGAAGAAGGTGTCGAGCAAGGCTCAAAAAGCTCCTGCAGCATTCGTCTCTTTGTCCGGTCGTGCACCAGCTCGGTCCAGGCACTGCGGAAAAAGATTCCGTCATGTTTACGAGTCTCGGTTTCGACGCTGCTAGCACTACTGGCGTCCGTGGCGGGACGCGATGGACTTTGATGATGGATGACAGCGACCCCAGTGCTTGGAGTTCCGCGCTTCCGCTTTTCCTGCTTCCTGTCTGTACTCTGGTCACTTCTTTCGGGTCCTCTTTGGGTTGCATGGTCAACCGAAGTCTCCTCTATTGGCATAGCTGGAACAGATTGACCCAGGATTGCGTCTATCGGTGCTGTAGACATCACATCTCGAAATGGTGCCGCCCCAGTATCTGTTTGAATCCTCTGAACATTTCTCAGCGGAGAAAATGGCTTCCGAGATCGCGTCCTCTTGTCCCTTTGGCTGCAGTTTTCCACTTTGATCGTCTGCCGTCGAGTCTCCACAGTAGGCGTTTCGAGCGTTGCAGCTCTACTCTGGATACTCCCAGAGCTCATAGGTTGCTGTGATGCTTGTATCGCCATCGTGGACTCTGTCGTCGCGGCGTTCCGCAACGGTGTCTCACTAGAATCCACTCGTGTTCGAGGCGACCCTTTGGTTTCTTCTTGTGCTACCGCCGGTTCTTTCTCCAGCATCCGCGATCGTGCCATCGCCTACAGTTCGACCCACACTCGTCATTCACAAGGCATCCCTCCCAGTAACAGCATGAGCACTAACAGTCTCGACAACACTTACCGCTGCTTGGGCCAGAATCAGCCGCTGCTCCATGGGCGTCTTCCGCTGCAACTTCTTCCGAAAGTGCTCGTGCATACTCGGGCCAGAGTGAGCTGTCACTCGGTCATTCTCAGCAAGTCTCCACGCACTCTCAGGGACCGATTGCATGGACCGCCAGCCTCTCAATTTGGCAAAGTGCAGCATTCTCGCGTCGTCTTCCACCGTGTACTTGAGTCGACCCTGTCGCTTGCGCACCAATGGCGTCTCGCGTCTCGCACATTCCGTGTCCTGTGTCGTAAAGATGGAGCCAGAATACGAGGACAATTGCTGCAGCGATTGAGACGCGATCGAGTCTTTGACGAAAGCCGTCGAGATCCGCTCGGGGTGGCGCGCGTCCATTGCCTCACAGTCCACGAGTTGAACTGCGCCCGCAGGAGTGGACGAGACCGTGCCGCCCTCTTGTTCAATGAGCTGCTTGAGCTCTATTCGGTCTGTTGCCGAGAGCGTCCGTGAGAGGTAGAACTGCATGTGCTGGAACAGCGGCGCCATGATCAATAGATACTCTTGGGTGGGATATGTTGTTGTGCCATGGACGGTTGTTGTCGAGGCTGGAGTTTTTACCAATCAAATGACGTACTAGTGAAGCCATTCGAGGCAAAGCCGGATGAGCTTCAAGAGCTGTGTTGCAACTGTCGACAAAGACGTGCGTCAACTATGACTGGCATATCCATGCACCGGAGATAATCTCGAGACGAGGATGTTCTAGTGAGCGTATGTGTAAGTTGACGCCACAGTTGTCAGGGTCCGATGCTTATGGCTGGCTGAGTTACACTAAGATTATAAGAGAGTTTTTGCAGTTGATCGCGATTGATAACGTCGCTGTCTCGATTTCTAGTGCGAGTCCAACCGCGTCGACATGCGTCAACACGGAAGTCATTCACCATGCAATGCTTCCCTTTCAACCGATACAATATGTTAGAAGGTAAGAATCGCATGGTAAATAACTTCCCCATTGACGCGTGCCAGACCCGATTCGGATCCTCGAATGAAGAAAATTCTATCGACCACTAGCCATCTCTTTAGGATGGTGTGACCCACTCAACGTACCCATCATAACGCACCCTAACGACTAGAGCTTTACCGACACGAAAAGGCGAGTCCGCTGTAACATCTCCAGTTCCAACAGAGACTGTCCCAAGCGCTGTGACTAAGGTACGTTCCTGGTCACTCCGCGCAGTGTAGTAATTGAGTGTTCCGGCACACCCGCCAGTTTTTCTACATCTTTGTGGTCGTTTGATCGCGTCCTCTCGTGTAATTACGAGTGTTTGCTGGACTCCGGCTTTGCAATGGCCTCAATGGGATTACGTGGACGGAGATCTTGGGACGCGTCAGTGTGGACGATCTGGTGAGAACTGTGTAATTTGAAGAGAATTGGGTCTAGACTGATAGCTACGTTGCATTCAGCAAGATCTGGCGAAGTGGAACGATTTTATCGAGCTGTTGAAGCTGTCAGGAAGGTGCGAGGTGGTGGTGCTTCGATCGCCTCGGTGAGGTATCTAACTGGTAGTCGAAAATACCACTGAAGCTACTGGCGAATACTGTCAGTAATCAAGACAACTGCCGGAACAAACAAGAGGTGGAGAGTGCAGTACGACTGCAGATAAGGGGCAAATAGCAAATTGAAATGCCTCGAGATTTTGGCATCGATTTAGCCAATTCCTATCGGCGGCGGAGGAGCCCTACATGTTGCAGCTCTGACAAACTGTTTTCAGAAGAGCATCTTTGCTTTCCAGCGATTCCAGCATAAACACACGGGTTTCTGTTTTGCATACAAAACATTGAAGCCGTCAGTACGGACCACGGCAGGAGCATGGCCAGTTGAGCCTTCCCTACCTTCGTCTCCGTTGCCGTTTACCCCTGATACGGTAAATGCAAACACTTTTTCATTGCGACCGTCAGTGATAGCTTGTGGCTTATCGAACTGTTCACACACACAAGGACGTCAGCACGAGTGCATTCTACCGACCGACAAGTCAATCCCATGAAACACCTACCACCAGCTGTAAATATGGTTGAGACCCTTCCTCAGCATCCTCTTCGCTTTTCCACAGCAAAAAGCGGAACGGACGATAAACCAGGAAACAAGTCTATAGTACAAGTGTTAATACAGCAATTCCATCCATTATCACAAAAACAATGCGACATACCTTTGCGCTACGATCGCTCTCTGCTTTAGTGGAAACGGTTCCAATCCATGATGCGTGGTAACGAAGGCGGGCCGCAATTTCTTTATCCTCTTCTAGTTGTGCTTGGCGCCTTTCTAAGTAAACGGCACGCTCGGGTTCGTACAGCTCGATTAGGTCTTGGTCAGTAGGAAGCGAAGACAAGTAGTTCCAAAGAATCTTCTTGACACGCTTGCTGGCCGGGGCATCGTCCACAAACACAGCACCGAATTCTGTCAGACCAAAAATGAGAATTGCCCAGCGACCACGAACCACGGAGAACACGAGCGCCATCGCAGCTACTACAGCAAAGGCAGTAGCAGTTTTCCACGGATGCGTCCAATTCAAAAGATTCTCAGCGCATGCTAATGCTCCACATGCACGACCAATCTCAGTTTGGAGCTGTTTGACAGTGTCTTTTACCTTCCAGAAAGCATCGAAGAGATTTGCACCGATGACATTCGATTTCTCCTTTTGCACGATGTTTTCACACACAAATTCAGAAAAATTACGCTCCACATGACCGTCAAGTCGCTTTTTTTGCACCGCGTTTGGTTCAACCAGCCCCGTCTCCCGTTGACACGTTTCGTTCAGCAAACCTTTGCCACTCGATGACGTCGAGCTTTCTGTTGGAATTTGAAAGCCGACGCGTGCAACCAAATAATCGCCATCTTGCTTTCCTACGCTCTCGGTTACAAGATCTGGTAAATTTTCATCGGATTTTGGCACAGGAATGGAAGATAATGGAAGTTGTAGCTCAATCGAATTGCCATCCCGCTCCAGAAGACTTCGGAGAGGAATCGTCGTTGTTGCAGCAACCAGGTCTGGTGTTTCTTTTGCTTCCCCACTAGAGGAAATGCACAAATCAAATTGTAGGAGACCGGGGAACGACGTCCATGGCACCAAATCATCACGTCCAGAACAGTTCTTACGAGATGCTTGTGGAATCGGAAAATAGTAAGCGTGGTGATCGACGCCACAACTAGTGACGGTAGCGGATGCTGGAACCGTCTCTTCCAAGCTTTGCCGATATGTAGAGCATTGTCCACAAGTGCACGTCTTAGGATCATGGCACCACGACACGTTGAAGTTTCGAAATGGTGACGTTTTCCGAAGTTTTGCAGCAAGTACGGTGCCAGCCGATAGCAGCGAATTCTTGCGCCAAACTGGATGCTGACTTCTACCCACGACATCCGTCCAGGCGACAGTTGTCTCATCGTAGCCAGAAGGAATCAGCGCTATGTCCCCCGTCCCGCACTGCTTGTCATTGGGTCGATACTTGATCAGGACATAGTAGCCAAGCTTCGACAGCGAAAAATCCTTCGTGCGCGCTTGCGATTCAATGAGAAGATTATCTGTCTCATCAGAAAGATGTGCTTCGTGCACCGCAACGTGCAAGTCAGCAAGCGGCCGATATAGCTTTTGTTGCTCCTCTTGTTCGAGTTCATACTCCTCGTAGCCAATCCAGCGTGCAGCATAGGCACCCTCGAGTCGAACGTGCAGTCGATACAGCATGTACACCAGGACAGCTCCAAAGACGTAGAATAGCGCATACTCGAAGTCAGCAACTACACATCCATACACGAACAAAAAAAAGCACACTGCGGATTTTTTCTTGTTTTTCCAAGAAATCACGCTCGCATACTCGGCATCAATCCCTTGGAAAATCTTCACTGCACGACCAAGTCGATCAACTGTATTCCGCAATGACTCGACGGAAAACTCTTTTTCCTCACGTTCGAGAAGATACGAGCTATTGTTCGCACGTACACGAAGCAAATCCTTTTTATGCTCCACATATTCGAGATCAACAAGTGCAAACCCGATTTCTTCGCCCGGTCGGAGCTTAGATCCCTGGGGCGATGATAATTTGCACCGTTCTTCGTCCGTAAGAATTGGCAGTGCCGCCCACGAATCGTTGATGGCCGCTTGGTTCATTGCGTTATTCAGGCTCAAGTAGCGTAGATGATCGCGCAAGCTGGCCAATATCGGGTTTGTTCGAACGAAGTTATCAGCGTCACGCTGGAGCAGCTGGAAGAGGGATATACCAAATTGTCCGATGCACTGATCCGTACTGAAATCAATCACATCGATGCGGAAGACCGAGTTTGGATGCCGGACCTTGAAGCACAAAGTCTCCATATACATAGGATCGGCACTTTTCAGTACAGGGCTGGTTTCGTGCACAATGCCGTCAAAGCTAAGGCGGCAGTACGTGTCTCCTACAAAAATGTTTTTCGCGTGAAAATTGTCTCGGCAGTGTTTCGTGCACAAGTGCAAGCCACGGAAGTTCACGAACAGTTCTCCCGCTGGACGTAGCACACTATCGTTTAATACGCGAAAAGTGACGCCTCGACGCTCCCGTTTCTCCCGCCCAGCGCTTAATAGTTCTTGTGCGACGCATTCGCACTGAACCGCCGCCTTCATTATGCAACCCTTATGAACGTCAATTCCACAAAGCTCACATCGGTAGCCCCAAACATTTTTCAATGCATTCATAATGGACCGGTTGCCTAAGAAAATTCACAACAACACAATAGAACAAATGAGCGCGGTGTGTAAGGTAACTACAACGAGACGATATCATTTGGACGCACAAACAGCGCAAACAGGTATGGCGAGCCCAATGGATTTGAGTTGGTGGACACGGAACTTGTGTGCGTTTGACGAGTTTGTATCTCGTTCCGTTGGTACAAATTTGATCGCAAGCATGATTTTCGGCTTTCCTGTGCTATGTGTAAGCAAGGAACGAGAAGACATGGTAAACCACCTCTTCGCCTCAATATTCGGGTACCGGAGCAGCGGACTCATGTCCACCAATGTGCAAGCAATCTGATCGTCAGCAAGGTAGTTGTAGTTGTAGACCTCGACGTCCAGTAGCGGAATCGGCGTGATCGTACTATTATACATGTGTGAAAACTGCATCGCATTGTCGTGGCTGTTAACCCACACAGGGTTCCGGCCGCCATTTTCAACCGGTTTGGTCTGCATCGGTTCCTTCCAAGGGAGCAGCGACAGTCTTGCATAAGGCGCCTGCGTTCCAATCAGCTGGATCCCAGGTAGTTCCATTGCACGATGCACTGTGATGTGAAAAGTACCAGGTTTGTTCAATCCAGACACGGGAGTCTTAGACAGAGCTAAAAACGCGTCACGTGATGTGATTTCTGGGTGTCCAGAGAGCACGTCAGCGGTAAACTGTGCGCATCCGTGATGCGTGACAATGCCCATCGTCTTTAGCCGATACATACTGCTGGACGCATCGTCTGGCCACGATACTTCGCACATGTCACATGTCCGTGGATTCTTGCCTTCTTCTGCACTAATCTCTTCAATCTCGTCGCTCTCAAAGATCGGATCTACGTCTGGAAACTGGTCCATTGGATCAACTCGATCTGCTTTTGCAGCTCCGTGGTGATGCGTGTGTTCGTCCAGCGTCTTCTGCAGCTTCATGAACGTCGGGTTCTTCGCTCCAATCTTCTTGAGCTTTGACCTGGTTTACACACAAATACACACACACATCGGAAGAAAGAGACGCGACCAATTAGAGGCACGGGACGTCACGAGATGTACACGCTAAGCACGCCTGACTACAGAGCGAGCGTCTCGAGACGTACAGAGCTGCGCCCATGGACGTCTTGGCCTTGGACTGCATCATCTCCTCGTCCACTTCTTGATCGCGTGTCGCAAACTTCTCCTGCAACGCGTGGAGCTGCTCGGTCGAGCAGAGCCGCACGACTTCTCGGTCCGCGACGAACGCGCCCATCGCTTCGTCTTGGGGCACTTCAAGTCCCGTGGACTCGTTCAGAAAGTGCATCTCGTTGGTAGCGAGTACATGGGACAGGTCCCATTGGACAGCTGCGGACGTGAGCGACTGCGTCTTGGAGCCCTTGACGCGGCGTTTTGTAAGACCTTCGCAGAGCCTAAAGAGGAGAGACAGACATAGGTACATAGACAACAAAAGAGACAGAGAGATGATGAGCGCAAGAGAGCTGCGCGGTACGACGGTGGGCACTTGTACCGGACCAGAAATCGACAGCGTCCGCGCTCTCCGCGCTCTTCTTGCCCCGGAAACGGAGCTCCATGGCAAGTGCAACCGCCAAAAGGAAACGCAGCGAATGGCCTAAGTACGGGCGTACTTAATAAAAAGCACAAGATAGAGAGAGCACTTCAACTTGAGCGACCAAAAGTGACAATGAGTGATGTCGAGACGGTGTTCAACGAAGACTCGCCGCTGTCGCCGTGTGTGTGGACGTATCCAGTCGTCGAAGCAACATCTGAAGTAGCACCAACAGGAGCCAAAGACAAAGTAGCAGAAGAAGAAGAAGACGAAGAAGAAGGTCCACTCGCAGCGAAGCTGAATGCAGCGGCCCCCACGCGGCTCTTCCAGAACAAACGTCTGTACCATTTACTACTTAACACACACTTCAACTCAAATGGACGCTTACCGATTGTATGACTTAGCGTCTCGACTCGACCGCAAGCAGCACCTCCCACGCCACGAGCTGCAGCTGTCGCCTGGGTCCCAACTTGATGTCCTTGCGCAGATCAGTGAACTCGCTGACGCGCAGTCGCGACCATCCGTTGCAACATCGAGACCGACTCGACAGATGCAGCGTGCGAGCATATGGGGCACAGGTACACAAACAGCGAAGCGGTCATCAGCTGCGGCCTCCAGAATAGCGGCGAAGAGGCAGAAACATGCTCCGAAGCAGTCAGCGCGGTCACAGGCCGAGCGGCTTACTGCAGATATGCTGGACTGGGAGACTTGCAGCGGTGCGAACGACATTCAATATTCTAGTGAACAGTCACCAGTGTGTTTGGATAATGACGAGATTGGTGAGATGGTTTGGAGCAGAGGGCGAGTTATTTGCACTGGACGAGGAAGAGGAGGCAGATCTGTGGGTCTACGAAGACATTCTGGACAGCGATTTTGAGACGTGAAAGCAGCAAAGAGCGTGTGAATTGACGTGATTCGATTTCATACTTGCATTATTCAGTTGACATGGAAGAAGATGCTGTAAACTGAACGTGGGCGTTTTGACAACATCGTGCGCGTGGCAAGAATGCCGTTGTCGTACATGCTATAAGTGAGTTACCGGTGAGAGCTGCGTGATGCCAATGCGAATCCCCTCCATGGCTAGTGTCATCTCCCTGCTTAGTGGGAAGGTGATGTACATTGTGCTGCTGTAAGGTGTCGGCTCTTTTATTACGGCACGCACCCTTGACGCATAAGTGAGTGTCAGTTGTTTCTTCGCCGTTGTGCTTAGCATCATGGCCCTCAAAATAAGTGACATGACGGCGTTGATGATTTTTCTTTGACAGTGGCGCAAACCACACGATACATCCTGCGTGGCTGGTAGACGTATACTTAGCGCTGAAGAATTCGCGTACGCACCCATCGCTACTTCATCCATTCAACCTAACTGCCAGCAAATTGACGGATATCCCTGAGTACAGAAGTTGTCATCACTATTGCGAATTGTCCAACACGCAATACAATCGGCGTATGCCTATCTGGCTAGCTGCACCGCATCGCTAGTCATTCATTATCTTGCGCGTAGGGCACCTGATTTTCCGCTCAGCAGCTCTGTTCATATGCTGACGATCATTTGGTTCCACAGATGTGTACGTAAGCTTTTCGTGAGCGAATTCGATCACGGAGAAACTCTTCTGCGATCGATGGCACTTGCATATGTAGATGGAAATGGTGCCGAAGGTGTCGAAGTCTCAGTCATGACGAACAATGGTCATCACAAGGAAAAAAAGTCTGCCGATTTTGAGCAAGCGTATGGTCAAAAGTTGAGTGTGCCAGTATGATGGCGGGCGATGCCACTGGCCAACTAAGTACAAAGCTGTTCGCTGATGGACTACGTCTGCAGACTTTGTGGTAGGCAAGAACAATGCAGTACCTCTCCTGGTGACCAGGCCAAGTCATTTGCAGGTAGAGCTGTCCTCATCAGCATTTACAAAGCTACCGCTACAACGTTTACCTGGTAGTAAATACACTCTCAAACCTGCGCAACAACTACAGATTTACTAGCGCTTCTACTACTGTGCAAGATCTCCGACTTGATTGACATGACCTGAAAAACGGAGACGCTGAAGACGTCTAGCAGACACGTGACTTTTGTGGGCTTACCAGAAAGATGAAGAAAAAAGGTGAAGTTAGTAACGAGACGTCAAGTATTTCAATGGGTGACGAGCTGGAAATCCTTCTTTTGCCGCTGAAGGAAGGCGAGGACGGTAGAGCTGAGTCAGTACGCATTCAAATGTTGGCAGTCACCGGGTGAAAAAGGTTACAGACGAAGATCATACTATTGTGCCATGATGAATAAAAGACGGACTCGGTCAGCTACGATACGTGTCACTTCCAAGAAGAACTCCTCGTCTTTGCTGTGCACTAACAGAAAATGAGATGCCTTGTTTGCTGTGTGGAACCTGCTTTCGTAGGCTTACCACCAGACGATCGATTCGCGTTCGTACCTTGGCGCGCAACTCGGGGCTTTTGGCAAACAAAAGCACTTCAAGGCAACATGATTGAATGAAGATATAAAAGAGAGCTTGAGTGCTCTGTTGCGGTCCTGCTCTTGTTTCTCATGAGCCATCAGTAGAATTAATGCGGATTAGCTCCTGCTCCATCAGCCCATCAATGATACCCTACAGATAAGCTTGGTGTGTCCATCACGAGACAGCGTACGAAATACAATTGATAAGTTATTAAACATCTTCCTCTGACACTAAGCAACTTGACCTGGCGGCAAGCTCCGTTGGCCTTAGTCAGTATCCGCAATACTCGGCTGTGTTGCTCGTGGGCCAACCGGTGACATGAGATACTCGTCATCGATTCTTGTGCAACAGTCGCCGTTAACACTTGGTGGTGAGCCATCTACAGTCGTTGCAGGTGACAAGTTTTCTGTGTCGACAGGTGGCTTGAAGTCCGGGCTCGCTGGCAACAACGTTTCCGGCGGTGTCACGGGGGACTCCAAATTCAAAGACATGGCTTGACCAGGCGTATCGGATTCGCCATGGGTTGCCAAGAAGCCCGGGCTTGTTGTATCGACCTCATAATAGGCGGTGCGGAGCAAGCGCGAGATAACGCCCTTGCAGCAGAAAGCAGATCCAATCGTACTTGTCCCCTTGATCTCAGTGTCCTCAGCTTCCTTCAACTTAAACGTCTGACTATCCATCGCGATCTTGTGAGCCTTTTCACGCGAGACCGACATCGCAGCAGCACGTTGAGCGCCCTTCGAAGTGCCTTGGTGTGGCGCGACTTCATATTTAGCATTGAGCATCTCGAAAAGCTCCACCTCGCGGCCGCACCAGCTGTCAATTATGGTATCAATCGTAGCATTGTCCAGCTTCACCGGATTGTAAGTGTAATAGAACTCCACAAGTGCGTCTCGCGTCGGTAACGTGGCGTCGTACTCCATCCGATCGTTTGGATTGGACAGCACCGCGTAAGCCGTCGGCACGCCCTCCCACCGCACCAGAGCTTCAGCTGACGGCTTCCTGTCCGGATGACACTTGAGGGCTAACTGGCGATAGGCCTTGCGGATCTAGAGCAGACACAAAACAGTGTACACGTGTTAACAGCTGGGATTACGAAGAGACTGTCTTTGTCGCTGCTCGACTTGATCCAGTGCCGTACTTCTGTATGTGAAGCATCGCGTGGAAGGTTCAGGAGCTCATAGTGGTCCTTGTACCGCAACTTGTCCTTGTCGACGTCCGTTGACTGCGTCCTGTACTTCTTCATGTACGCCCGGTGCTGCTCCATGTCCTCGGCCGACAGCTTGGTCTTGGCCTTGGTCCTGGGCTTGCTTCCTGCCATCGTGAATTGGTATCGAATCTCTCTCTCTCTGCGACTTTGATCTGACAAATGGCTTTTTGCTGGCATCCAGCTGGCTGGCTTGCGACGGTTATTTATTTCAATTGGGTAATAGTCAGTACGGAGCGCCTGAGGGACTCGAAGGTGGGAGCGACCCACACTCTAAAACATCATCGAGCAGCCGCGGAGCCATAAAAAGCTGGTGAAGCTGCGGGCACAAAATATCATCCGTGAAAGAAGAAAGTAGATAATGCCTGGTTGACCCGCCGATGAGTGGGGAATGTATACCTACCTGCACACCTGTTTATGCTCGTATACTAGAGAATTGTATGACATGTGGATGCTTTAGCTGACAAGTGATTCGTTCGAGTCTCTGCTTCCAGAACAGTCAAGTAGGTAGTTGAAACACTGAAGTGATCAATTGAGTTGCAAGAGTCATCTACCGTCTAGCAGAGTCCGAGACGTGATCGATTACCGCTTCGACTATACCCTGACGCGCGCTCTAGCAAGCGTCTTGCTAAGAACCTCTCTCGGCGATGAATTCGTGTGAGCCAGAAGAAACTGATACAATTCAACTGCAACGCAGCCTCAGTCCAAAGCAAGCTGCTTAGTGATCCGAGACCAAGTCACAGCCTGAACCACATGAGCTTATGCAGGCACAGACGGCATCATATTACTTTGTAAGTCCATTTGCAAGCCGACATCAAGTCACGAGCTGACCGATGTTTTAACTGTCGGGTAAGCTGTGTTGCAGTGTCGTATCTCCGCAGCCTTTCGGATCGCAAGTACGATTGCTGCTTCAATAGAGCAGTCGCTGTAACAACGTTACGTTTTTGTGCGCAGAAGAAACCCATTCAGATTTCCACATTTCATTCGCAACGTCCGAGTCTGTACGGGAGATTGCATCCAGAAATCATCTTCCCCTACCCACACCCCTCCGAGCGCCTATCCACTTTCAAAAATCACATTACAACTGAAAGTTCGATCCAAATTTCACCAAAACGTGTGAGTGGCCATCATGATCTCCCGCACCGGTCTCTCCGCCGCCGCTCAGAGCCGCCCCGTCGCTCGAGCAGTACGCCACTCCCCCCCTCTCCTTCTCCTTATGCTGCAGCAATGTCTTCCGTACAACAATTGAGAGGTGTCTTTGGTATCGTTTCGCATTGTGCTCCAGCTCTCGACAGTAGCTCCCGAGACCTATTCGTTCGTCCAGTCACGTGTCGCATATCGCAACGAGATCGCGAGTCTGCGGAAGGAGTTTATTGAGGAAGAAAAACGTCGCAGGGAAAAACTTGCACGTGATGCCGAGTACGTGTTTGTCTCGTGACGGATCTCATACTGGTGGAACAAAAGGAGCCAACAGACAGAGCGAGAGAGAGGTCATGATCTGGTTGACTCGGTGCTTCTGTTTTACTGACGTCCGTGCTTCTGCTTGTTCTTGGGTAGAGCACAGCGGCAAAAGATTATGAAGGCCAAGGCAGCTCGTCTGGAGATCAAACGCCAGCAACAGGCGATTCGAGCGAAGGAGGTCGCTCGTGAGAAGGCCATCCACGACGAGAACGTCGCGTGAGTCTTTGTTTTTGCTTGCTGACTGAAGTGAAGTATGGCGTGGAGGCGTGCAAGTCTCTGACGACGACGTGCTTTGGCTGGACTGATGTGTAGGAAATATTTCGAAGAAAAGGTAGTCGTACGTCAGGAGCGAAATGCCGAGGTGGAACGTCGTCGTGAGGCACTAGTAGCGTCTCTACGTCAACAGAGCACCAAGTGGACGGACCAAGACAACTATACGGAAAAACTCAAGGAGGATGTCTTCATCTACTCTCCGCAGCAGATCTCCACGCGCGGTTCATTTGATCCGTCGAGCGCGTCGGGCAGTGCTGTATCGTGGCTAGAGAAGCTGCAGCGTATGAAGCCTGCTGGCATGCAGACCAGCCACGATGAAGCTGCGGCATCGGCTGTTGCATCGGCAGCTGACGGACTGGATATCTTTTCCGCTTCCAGCCATGTTGTCAATGAAGAGGATGTCGTCGATGCATCACCATCAAAGAAGGACAACGAGTAAGCAAGTAGCACCAGATACAGAAGCAGAAAAAGGCTGGCAGACAGGCAGTCGTAGCAGAGCGACGTTTCGCACCAGTGCACACGATCGTGTTCCCCTTGGTAATAACTGTGTTGCGGTTCCCTCTTGTTTACTATATATTCCACGCAATCTCTCTCTCTCTCTCGTTCGTACTTAACACAAGCTCCACGCGAAGGGAGGTCTTCACGCATGATATCTTCAGATTTGATCCAGCGGTCCTTGAAGAGCCATGACGACGGCGGAACAAGCTTTCCAGGCGAACGCAGCGGCCGTTGTGCGCGACTACTACGTCGAGCCTCGTATCGGTGCGTCTACCTATGTCTGTGTCGAGTGTGGAGCGTGTTACCTGCTAACTACCGCGTCATTCGGTCTTGTGCTCTTTAGATTATCGCACGATCTCGGGGGTGAACGGTCCATTGGTCATTCTGGAAAACGTCAAGGTACGGACGTTCTCCGACGTCTCTATTTTCCGTAAATAGGCGCCCCGGTTTAGGGGTGCATCGACCCTTTGCTGAGTTCTCTGTGACTCGTTCTTGGTTTTGCTTTCTCGGTAGCTGCCCAAGTTTGCGGAGATTGTCAACCTCACGTTGGCCAATGGGGAGAAGCGGCAGGGGAAAGTGCTCGAGGTGCAAGACACGAAAGCTGTCGTGCAGGTCTTTGAAGGAACAGACGGCATTGATAACCGCCACACGCACTGCGAGTTCACGGGTGATGTGCTGAAGATGGCCATCTCCGAAGAGATGCTGGGTCGCGCGTTCAATGGGTCGGGGAAAGCTATTGATGGCGCTCCCGCGGTTGTGGCCGAGGACTATTTGGACATTGAAGGACAGCCCATTAATCCGTCGTGTCGTGACTATCCGAAAGAGATGATCCAGACGGGCATCTCGGCTATCGACGTCATGAACTCCATTGCCCGCGGGCAGAAGATTCCGCTCTTCTCTGCTGCTGGCTTGCCCCACAATGAGGTATGTGGTTTTGGGACACACAGCTAGACTGGATGTCGATTGGACCAACGTCCACTCTCTCATGCGTGTTTATTTGGCTCTGGCTGTGATTGTATAGATCGCCGCACAAATTGTACGTCAGGCTGGTCTGGTGCAGCGCAAAGACGTAATTGACACGCACGAAGACAACTTTGCCATTGTGTTTGGCGCCATGGGCGTTAACATGGAGACAGCCCGATTCTTTCGTAATGATTTCGAGGAGAGCGGATCGATGCAGAAGACGGCGCTGTTCATGAATTTAGCCAACGACCCTACAATCGAACGCATTGTAACGCCGCGTCTGGCGTTGACCACTGCTGAGTATCTCGCTTACGAACGTGACCTTCACGTGTTGGTCATCCTGACCGATATGAGTTCGTATGCCGATGCTCTCCGTGAAGTGTCTGCTGCCCGTGAAGAAGTGCCAGGACGTCGTGGGTACCCTGGCTACATGTACACGGATCTATCGACACTGTACGAGCGTGCTGGTCGCGTGACAGGCCGCAATGGCTCCATTACACAGCTGCCGATTTTGACCATGCCGAACGATGACATCACCCACCCCATTCCGGATCTGACGGGTTACATTACTGAGGGACAGGTACGGAGCTGCTTTGTACCGTGGCCGAAACTGTACGATGACGTGCATGCTGATGGGAATTTGGATCGGTTTCTATTCGTTCAGATTTATGTCGATCGCCAGCTGCACAATCGTCAAATCTTCCCACCGATCAACGTGCTGCCGTCGCTGTCGCGTTTGATGAAGAGTGCTATTGGTGACGGTATGACGCGGGACGACCACAGTGCTGTATCGAATCAGCTGGTAGGTGGATGTCCAGCGCAGGCTAGTGACGCTCTCTGGCGATCATGTTTCTAACCGCTCGTGTCTGCTCGTGTGTACAGTATGCCAGTTATGCCACTGGTAAGGATGTTCAGGCGATGAAAGCCGTGGTCGGTGAGGAAGCTCTGTCGCTGGAAGACCACCTCTACTTGAAGTTTACGGACAAATTCGAAGGTAAGTTCATTGCACAGGGCCCGTACCAGTCACGTGACATCTTTGAGTCTCTGGACCTCGCGTGGTCGCTCTTCCGCGCGTTCCCGAAAGAGCTGCTGAAAAAGATCCCGGAAAAGCATCTGAACACGTACTATGCGCGTCGGACGCAAGCGCGTGAGGAGAAAGAAGAGGTGCGTTCAGAAACACTGCCTCTTTATAGCCCTGCTCGTAGCTGACGCTTTGATCGTTGCTGTGTCGGGACCTGTAGTGAGCAGCGACCTTGGACGAAATGTTTGTAGTACCCTCGCAAGCTTTGAACACGCTAATGAGGGTCACTGCGTACGCAGCAGTGGTGAGTTGAGCAACAGCCGACACGGCCCGGCATGGCGTTATACTAGCGTTGCACTTCTCCTCGTTGGTCCAATGTGATGAGAACTTCAGGCAAAATGAAACTTCTTAAACCTTGAGGGACTTGCTCGGTGATTTGTAGTCGCAAGATTACTTCCGTCTTCGTCGACGGTCTACTGGCGGTTTTGCAGGCTGCCACTCGGGATCCGTATGCTGAAGCACAAGACGGCACTGCCGAACACTGAAATGCCGCTTGCGGCACGATTCACACATTCGTTTGAACTCGGGCTTTTTAGCTGAACAAGGCAATTCGCATACGTACACACACAATCAGTCCACGGTGCACCACGATACAGTGACGTGGTAGCGCACCTGGAGGCCGAGTGAGTACCGCAGTTCGAGCTGGTAAAGCTAAATGCAGCTGTGACTGCCACGGCGACATTGGCATATACACCGCAGGAGGTTGCGGATAAAACAACAGTGGCATGGTGTCGGAAAAAGGATAGAGCTTGTTGACCACGGAATGTGCGGGTGGCAGCGGGAGCTTGGGGATACCGGTTCCTCCCACGCTCGGCTTGATTTGCTTTTCAACAGCAGCAGGGGTCGCCACGGATAAACTCTGCGCAGGAACTGCCAAATGTGGAGGGCCTGTAGGCATAGCTAACTTCTGAGCAAGTAGCATGTGCATTGGCGTCGAGGGACCTGCTCCAGCCGTCTCGTTAGCAGCTTGCAGGAACGCAGTAACCTGTTGATGGGCCCGCAACTGATTCACTAGTGCCAGCCCTCCACCCCCTTGTTGCACCTCGCTCCCTCCCGACTGCACGTTAGCGACCTCCAGCATGCCAATGGCGTTTTCGTTCATGATTGCACTGACACTTTCCTCTTCAAGGACTTGGTGTCGCGACTTGATCCACTGCTCTTTCGAGCGCAGCGTCTCGCGCTCCTTCTCTCCAGCCTCAATAGCTGCAAGCAACGCACCACGCTGCAATTGCTCTCTCTTCGCTCCTTTCTCCTCAATAGAACCACGAGACTTTCCTGCAGCAAGAGCAGGTGTTGCCTTGTCCTCGACATCGTCAATCGTCAAGTCGACCACGTTAAACTCCGGCTCGTCGCTCTTCTTCTGCCGCCATCACCATCACCACAACCACAACCCACACAGCAATCACGACGTCAGCCACCAGCGAAAACAAGAGGGTACTCGTCAATAATCAGAGGTTCGCACCGTGCTCTCACTGACAGCACAGCTACTGGTGCTGACGTTGCTGTAGACCCCGTACATGGAGTCAATAAACTCGGCCATTTCCATGAGATCGCGATGCAGAATGCGATGGTAACTGCGCCCATCAAAGCCACGGCCAGTTAGTCTCGCCCAATGAGCAGCAGCAGCAGCAGCAACTGCCACTTCATGTCTCGGAGTAAACTGCTCACGCTAATAGCCCTCCGACGTCTCCGTCCGCTTGGCATTCCGCTGTCGCCACGATCAGGTCTTCGTTCACGTTCAGCATCTGAGGAGGGTACACGCACACACACACACGTGGAACATATCGATGCAGCAGAGAGACGTGAGCGTGAACGAGGCACTGGAGAAGACGCAAAGAAGGAGCTTACGTCCGTAAACACGTCAGAGATTGGAGACGAGGCGCTGTGGCTCTCATCGTCGGCTGCGGGAGTCGTAGACGAAGGTCTCCAGCGTGTCCCGCTGGTCATTTAGGCGAATTCCATTGTCACGATGGACGTATTTCGGACAGGAATTACGGATAAACAGTCGCTACTGTGTCCGGATTCGTAAAGTCGCAGTTGCAATGGAGGAGGCAAGCACGGTTTGGAGGTTCCGGCTTTTAGGGTCGTTTTGCGTTTATTTGCAGCTACCTATTTTTTTGTCCCGAAAAGTTTAGGAGCGATGGATAACTTTTAAAAGCTTCACAAACGTTTCTTGCCGTCACACAGCTGATTCTGCTTTTTGTCAGCTTTTCTTATCCTGACTATTCGACCAGATCGGTTGCATGCACAAAAAGCGTTTTCTACCGACCGACCACAAGCTTGTTGTAACCTAAACAAACCAAGAGGCCTCGACGACCAACTGACCGACTAACCGACCGACTAACCGACACGCTTTTGCACGAGCAGTACTAATTCGTTGGCATTTGAGCTGCCTACTTCGACCAGAAGGACGTGCGACTTCAAGGCAAGCAGAACCTCGTGCATCCAATGCGCAAGTCACATTAGCTGTAGTCTTATTACCAGCAACCCAAGCCACGATGGTCCCTTGATCCATAGAACGTATTCATCGATCGATAGCTTTGCAGTCACCAGCCAGCCAGCCAGCCAGCCAATTTCCGACGAAATGCTTCGACTTCGACCACCCACTCGCTGTGTATCACCCACGAGCCTGGTGCCTGCTGTGCTAACAGCGTTCGTTGTCAAGCTGCCAGCCGATACACTGGTGACTTACGTGAGGTTACACGCCGTCGTGTAGCTGCTCAATCACTTGAAAGACCGACGGTCGGGCACAAGCGTCTTGGGTCAGTATCCACCTGGAGCACAAACGGCAGCACAGGGTAAAGCCAACGCGTCCACTCCAACAGACAGCAGCAATCACCTACCGGATCATGTCGCAGAACTTGGACGAGTACGAGCAGTTCTTGGGGAACTTGATCGGTCCGATCACTGCCAAGTACGTGCACTCGACAACGCGCACGACGCCCGAGTCGTAGAAGGAGCATTCAAACGGAGAGTAGCCGAACGCCATCGCGTACAGCAAACAGCCCAGTGACCACACGTCCGTGGCGCTGGAAACGTGCGCGTCATCCGGTACATCATAGAGTTCTGCAACAGCAGTAGCAGCAGTATCAGCAGTAGCAGTATCAGCAGCAGTCAAAGGGTTGTCAATATACGTAATCAGTTGCGAGTGATGGAGCGTCGTGATGACGTACCTGGTGCTCGATACGCCATCGAGCTCTGCTGTGCAGCAAGTTCTTGCAGCACGAGAGCATCGAAGCGCTTTGAGATGACCACGTCGGCCGTCGTGACGGACCCAAAGTCCGTCAGCACTGGCTCCCCTTCGTCTGACAGCATGATGTTCTCTGGCTGCATAGATCGAGAGCAACGAATGTGTTATCCCGAGGCGGGACTACATGGACGTGCGAGGACACCAAGACGTACTTTGATATCTCGATGGGCGAGCGGCGGCGACTTCGAGTGCAGCTCTGCGACCGCTCGACAGATCTGGAGAAACAGGTCAAGAATCTGCGCCTCTGGAATGCGCACGCCTTGACTATGACGAGCACCGAACAAAGAGAGAGAGCAAGCAAAGCACCACCACACGAGCACCACGAGATCAGTTCGCTGCTGGCAAGTCAAGTCGTTGCATCAATCTACCTGATCGCAGTGTCGATCAGTCCACGCAGCGTGCCATTCTGCCCACGACAACAAAAGAGAGGGAGAGATGAGGTCGGTCATTGACAGCATGGAACAAAAGACGAGAACCGCACCTCCATGAACGGGAACAGCAAGTAGTACTCGACCGTCGGGGCTCCCGTCGACACGACCGCATAGTCCTCGAGCGGCATCAGATTCGGGTGAGCAAACGCCTCGTGCGCTCGAATCTCCGCCTGCGCGAGCTGCGCGTGCTCGGGCGAGTGGCACGGGATCCTCTTGAGTGCGAACGTCGTGCCCGTCCTCGCGTCCCTCGCCTCGTAGACGAACGAGAACCCCCCCTGTGCGACCTCTGAGCCAACGGCGATTCTACCCGTGCACACAGAAACGAGAGATCGGTCAGAAGACGGTCCGCCACCAGCAGCCCTTGCAGCCCTCGCAGCTGTCGCAGTCCGACACGTACGTACGTACGTTCGACCGCTCTGCATGCGAATGGACGGCGACGAGTACCCGAGACACGAGAGCAGTCGCTCCGTCGCGTACAAGGGGAAGAACGTCACGGCCGAGCACAGTCGACGGGACGAGACTGGACGCGGCGGCTGCTCTCTGGCCACGAACTGCTGCTTCTCAGTCATTGCGAGCCCAACCCCGCAGCAAATAGTAGCGACAGACGGACGGTTGGCTCTCCTCCTCTTCCCGTATCAACGGCTCCACTGACTCGGGGACTCCTCTCGTGCCAGACAGAGACTGCGGCCAATGAACGTCGCACGTGTTTGGACAAAGATGGCGCGGAAGAAGAGCGTGCTCGTGGACGGGAACAACGCGCTGTATCACTATTACGACCCCCTGTCGACGCTCGAGCGGTAGGACGCGCCGTCCCCACGGACTCGTTGCCGACTGACTGACTGACTGAAGCCCCGTTGTTGTTGCTGTGTCGTGTCCCACGTGATGCTTCAGCCAGGGAGTCCCCTGTGGCGCCGTGGACGGACTGCTGCGACTGCTGCAACGGATGGACGAGACGCACGCGCCCGAGCACATTTGCGTCATGTTCGACTCGAAAGACCGAGTGACGACGCGGCGCGTGATGCAGCCGAGCTACAAGAGCGACCGCCGGCCGACGCCCGTGTCCCTCGTGCCCCAATTCGCACAGGCGAAAGCGGCACTTCAGAAGCGCCACGTGAACTGCATCGAGTGGCCAGGAGTCGAAGCCGACGACCTCATTGCTTCGTACGCGACGCAGTACACAGCTGCGGGCTTCGACGTGCTGCTCATTTCCAATGACAACGACTTCTTGCAGCTCGTGCGAGGTGAAGACAGAGGCACCACGTTTACCGCTACTGCCACTGCTGCTACAGTTGCTACGGACGCGGCGACTGACCTGGTGGTCGCTACGGCACCTGCAGCTCCTGTGGTGGAACTCTATCAGCCGTCCAAGCGTCGGTACATTCGTGAGCGGAGTCTACGAGGAAGGTTTGGACTCGACCCCAAGTTGCTGCCGGACTTTCACGCACTGTGCGGGCACCAGCGGAAACACCTGCCGAGGGTGGACAACTTGACGGACGAAGTGGCCGTGCAGTTGCTCACGCAGTATGGCGGACTCTATCCGTTGTTGCGCCAACTCGACGCACTCGAGGATCCAGCTCTGTGCACCACGTTGAAGCAGGGCATCTCCGCTATTGAGGGGTCGTACCGGATCGTTAAGCTCATTGACTCGGTCGCATTACCTGTAGCGATCGAGGACTTGCAGCGACCTCAGTGGACGTAATGGCGATCTGCGAAGGCGTAGCTGGCAAATGACAACCACGGGAGACAACAAACACCAGCAAGTGACGGTACAAGAACACGTTACAGCGTTAAAAGCACTGACCTCACTCAGCTTCTGGTTGACCTAATCGTGCAGTAGTTTCACACTCCCCGCCTTGTCAACTGCTTGCGTCTCCAGCGCCAGCATCTCCCTCACTGACGTAGACTCGTCCAACGTGACTGACATTTCTCGTCTCGGTTTCTTCGCGCTCGTGACCATCTCCATTATTACAACCACGGCTCTCTTGGCCACCACCTGCCCGAGTCATCTTGAACAGATCAAGACGCTCTTTTGCGCGGCGGTCCGAGAACCATGTTGCGACCTGCTGCTTTGTTACGCCAGTGCCAGGTGCAGAATGCTCGTCAACGTGATCGTCTCGGTTCAACACCTTGAGCAATTCCTCCAGTCGGGCCACTGTTGGCTGCGGATTCTTTTCGTACTCCTCGATAATTGTCGCAAGCTGTTTCATATTGAAGACCCGCCCTGTACGGATGCCACCAACCGTTTCGCCATCACTGTCTACTACCATCGCATCCTCACTCTTCGCTGTTGGCGTCCCAAATGAAGCAGGTTGGATGGGCGACTCTGATTTGCAGCGCTTAACACCGACCTTGTCGTCACCTGACGGTGCTTTGCGCTTTGCCACCGAGCCCTTCTCCGATTTATTGTCGTCGTCCGACTCAGTGTCACTGGAACAAGACGAACTCGAGACGGTGTCATCGATTTTGTGCAAATCTGCGCCACTCAAAGCCTGAGGAGGTTGATTGGCTGAGCGACGTTTGTAAAACCAGCAGCGGATTTGCTTGTAATCGATAGACCTCTGAGCTGCATCACTTGATGGGTCGAGGGACGCAATCCCATTTAACCGCGCAGCGATTTTATCCAGCTTCTTCTTGCTTGGTGTGTCCTCCTTGTGAAAGTACTTCTCGAGCTTCACCAGCTGGGCCAACGAAAACTTGACACGCGGTCGACGCGACTCCGGCGATGGTGTTGGGCCAGATATTGGCGAAGATCCGGGTGTCCCAGGCAATGATTCAGTGTCCATATGTAACAACAGCGACCGTGGCTTTTCCTTTCGTTTTTTGCTGGCACTTAACTCTCCAGCCATCGCGGCAACCACGTTCGGTGCATCACCGTTATCCACAATGAAGTTGAATTCTCCCTGCAGTCGTTTGGTCTGCCGCACGAGCTCTTTGTTGTCTTTGTGTGCTACAAGGATCAATTCCAGCTGCTGCTGAATGCCCGACTCGATCAGGACGGTGTAGGGAATAATAAGCGACAACAGTAGCTCAATGATGTCGGTCACTTCCTCGGAGGGTGCGTCTTCCTCCAACAGCTGCAACATTCTCATCTTGATATGTGATACTTCCTCTTTGCCCAGCGGCTTTGACGGTCCAGTGCGTGCATTCTTGTAGGGCACATGCAACCGTTCTCGTGCGCGTTCGATCGCAGCAGTGCGCAGCGCTTTCGTTTCCTCGTCGCTCTTACCAGCATCACGCGCATCTTTGATTGCCTTCCTCACAGAAGCCACATAATCAATTCGTATGCGCTTCTTCAGGCTTGTCGATCCAGCCGAACCGGGAAGCCTGAGGCTATCACTTCCTTCTTTGCTAGCGTTCACCATACCCAAGTTGGCTTTTCCTGCGCCAGACAAACCAACGTTGAGCGAGTTACCATGCATGCTTTGATCCGAAGTGTTTGCAATAAGAGCCAAGTCTGCTGCGTCGACGACTTGACCTGATCCTTGTCCATTTTCACGCATCCGTGACACTCGCGCCTCAAGCACTTCTTTGGCCTCGTCGATGTAAGCGGCTTTCATCTTCTTGACACTGTCTGCATCCATGTCAGTAGTGGAAATATCCTTCATCTTCAAGCGCATGTAATCGAGACGTTCCTTTGCGCGCCGATTGTCGAACCAAATGCGAATTTGCTTCACTGAGATACCTTCAGGTTGTAGTTCCGGATCCGCATAGTCCGAGCAGTTGATTATGCGATACATCGAGTGTATTTCACTCGACTCTGGCCGAGACGAGCGCTGGTACCATTCCTCCAATTTCTGAATCTGTTTCGATGAATACAAGCGGCTGGCACCACTTTTTCCTTTTGACCCTGACGCAAACCGGCTTGCTGGTCCCGACGCAGTTTTAGCCCCGCTGTGTAATGCGGACTTGCGGTCTTGATTTGGTGCTGCCCTTACTTTTCGGATCAAGTCAACCTCGAACTGGATGCCGGCGACTTGAAGCTGTTCCACTAGCTGCTTCAACGAGGCCAGCCCATCGTGAACACGACGCAAAAGGACGTCCTTCTCAGACACATTTGATGACGCCACACCGTTCCACACAACACTGTTGTGGCCGTTGCTACCACTTACGTGCGCGTTGCTCTCGCTTTTTATAGAAACGTGGGTCGCATCGGCAGAATACGTTTGCGAAGAAGACGATGCAGGAACCAGCAGAAACGGGGGCGGAGGTGGAGACGGCACTTGCGTTTGCTGCTGCCTATACTCACCAGTGTTGCTGTTATCACCGGAACGAGCATCGGGCATTGCCTCATGCGCAACAGTACCATCAGGGTGTTCCAGCCAAGTAGGACACATGACCGTGTCAATCGCCTTTGTCAAAGCTTGCGTAATGTGTAGCATCTCCCCTGTTTGCTCCAGTATTGCGGCATTGATGTTTTTGCCACCACACAATGCTAAATCCGTCAAGCGCTGCACCTCGGTCTCTGTTGCACCACCTAGTGAGCCGTCCGGCTGTGCAGCTCTGCCATCGTTGTCCATTTTACTTCGGCTCGTTACGGCAGCTTTTATGACGCGACTTCCACGATTCTTCAGGACAGCAGGGTCGACGTGCTGTTGCTTCCGTAGTGAACCAGCAAGTGGCTCCTCCACAGAATCGCCTATCGAATTCGGATCACAGTCTGGACACCGCCACTGTCGATTCGATCCTTGGACTGTCTTGGCAAACTGTTGACGAAAGCAGCTCGTGTGGTACATACACTTGCACTGGACACAGAGCAATGCACGTCGTCCGTTGCGTGGTTCGTGACACATCTCGCACTCTTTGCGCGCCGTCGTGCGTCGCCGAGCTGCAATGATCGCGCCAACATTAGACGCGCCCGACTTGAGCGCGAGCGTCGTGGGATTGTCCGCGTTCTCGAGACTCTTGTTTCGGAGACTGGACGGCAGCACACGAGTCCCAGCTGCGGCTTCCGACGCCGAGTCCGTCTCACTGGGGACACGAGTTTTCATCTGGCTGGTCGTGACGGGTCGACCCGAAGAATGCACATGCGAGAACGCCGTGCCCTTGGCCAGATCGTCACCGTCCTCGTCCATTTCAAAGCGTCCCAACATCTCCGTGGCTGGGCTGCTGTCAAGATCGTCGTCTTCGGACCGTCCATTCAGTGCCTCGTCATCTTCTTCTTCCTCTTCTTCTTCGTCCTCAACAGGGACCCCTCGATCGCCTTCCCGAGTCGCCCCTGCACGGCAGTGAACGAGCGTCACATCGTCGTCCTCCTCGTCGGAAGCGTCTTCGTCGTCGTCATCGGAGGCTGACTGGAGGTTACTCTTGAACACCAGCAGCGCCTTCTTGCGCTCGGTCGCGTCATCCCGCGGGGTTCTTGCGGTCGCTTCGGTCCCCACATCTGCCATCTCTAGATCCGGTCCGTACGCGAGTCCCTTCGTTGGTCACTTGTCGATCCCTCTCTCTCTCTCGCTCGCTCGCTGTCTTTGTGGGTGTGGGCAACTGAAGGGCGTGAAGATTCGAGTTCACGTGCTGGCCATTTATTTCGATTGAAAGTGCCTTCATTTGGTCACGAATTTCAGCCGCCCGAAAGCAGCGAGACTCGAGGAGGTTTCGCCCCCTTTTTCGTTTTGGGTAGAACGACGATTTGGGATCCTTTTTTGCGAGCATCACGTTGTGGTGGGAAGCAAAGAGAACATCGGGTCTCGAGCGAATTGCTCCGAGTTTTTCCGGATGCGCTCGACCTCCCTCGTGGAATTATCGACAGCACAAATTCCTGACACGAATATATTGTGTCGGCGTTTTGGATCCTGATGAACTTAGTAGAAAGAAAGCCCATCTCTCCAGATAAAAGGCTCTGACTCCTGTTTTCTGCCGCGTGCTTTAAACAGTGGAACACGTAAGCCAACATGTGGAATGATTACCGTCAATAAACGACTCATCAACGAATCAGGGGGAAACGTCAAGAGAAGCACGACTCTCAGGAAGGCATGACGCTCCGATACGTTCGTAGATATTGCTACAAACACATGACGACCGAAGGGGAAGAAAGTTTCGCTACAAACACGGGACGACTGAAGGGGAAGAAGCAGAACAGAAATGAATTATCGCGACCGTTGAGATGGCGCTGCACGATAACCAAGCAGATTGATCGCGTACACAACGAAGCTCCATGGAAAGCACTGCATCTTCTTTTCTACGTAGACTTATTTCATCACCATGTATACAACTTGGGTGAGTACAAGCAAGCACGAGAAGAGGAAGAATGCGGTGATCCTTGAGCACATGGCTAGACGCACTTGTCGTCTAGTGTTTGAACCCACGAGTGTTTGAACCCACTGGTATCACTTGTGCACCGAGAAGGGGACGTTCTGCAACCAACAAAGGCCCTGCCTGTCATGGTCGGCACTCAGTATTTCAAGATTTGCTGAATACAGCCACGCACATGGTCTGTCTACCTGTCCTTGCCCTGCACGCATCTCTGGACGATTTGGATTACGGCAGGGATGCATTTACGTGGGGATGTTAGGTAAAAGTTCCGTGTCTTTCTACCCGTTGATTGCACTTTTACCAGATTTACCACTTACTACCACTTTTTGACCAGCTTCATGTTCGTACCAGTTCATATCGTTTCACCCTGTTCTCGAGGACCTCCATGCAAAATTCTTGTGGTTGCAACCAAGTGAACAGTAGTTGTACGTGGCCTTGACTTTCCCCCAGCCATGTTCACCTTCTCATAGGACGTCCACACCAGAAGATGAAGACGTCCGATAGTGGGCCAATTCGAGTGGGAATCTCAAAGAATGTGTTAGAATTACAAATAGCATTGCAGAGAAGGCATGTACAGTCTTCCCTCTGCTAAGTTATAGACTTGGTGGAAGGCAAATCCTATAACATAGCAGAGGTTATTCCATAGCAGAGGTATGCTGCGGAAAGATTATTAATTTAATTAATTAAAGAATCAAAAACGCAACAAACCTCCAGGCTTCCAAAACCTGTCTGTCACGTGTCACGTGCTGTAACGGGGTGAATCGTTACATAACAATTTATAAGAAATTGTTAATAGAATATAACTATAAGAGTTATATTCTCAGAATATTGTCATAAGGACAATATCCTGTAGCACTTCCAAGTAGTTCCTAATTGGTTGATATAGGCCATTATATCAACCAACGAAGACGCGCCACGACAGACGCACGCAATGAGTGGTGAGCAGATAACTGATTTACACATTTGTATTTAGACATAGTTAGATGAAGATAAATAGTGATTTATTGCAGACATTAACTATTATAAATACAGTTCTACTTTTTACTCTAACCGAGTACTCGCTTCTTCTTACCGTCTTCCTCTGCACGTACGAGTGTACGTGAAGTTACGAGGCACCGCCTTATTCTGTTATCAGAATAAGTAGCTTGTACTGTCACCAGTACAAGCTTCAGGGTGCCCCGTTACACCTGGTAGCACTTCGTAGTCCGTCCAAGGACCGCGTTCACATCCAACATGAATATGTTGGATGATGAAGATGACCAAAGCTTTCACGCTACGCGTGACGGCTACTCCCATTTGAGCGATGTCGAATGGGATGCGGTTGAACGAATGGGTTCGACCATGGGCATCCATGCTGTTAGCGTCATGCTAGAGGCTCTCAATAGAGACGCCCAACATGCTACTATCGCCAAGTTCATCCAAAATGAACTTGACGCTGAACGCGAGAAAGTAGCCTTGCTTCACCAACAAGGTTCTCAACAAGCAGAGTTGTTGAGAGAACAAGGTGCTCAACAGTTTGAACTGTTGAGACAGCAGCAGGCTGCTGCTGGCGGGTCGATGCACTCGCGTCGGCCCGAGACTTTGAAGATTGACATCTCAAAGTATAGGGGGGTCGAAGAAGACTCCCTCTTGAGATGGTTCGTCGAATTGGACGACGCTATAAGGGCGCGTCGCATCGACGACGGGGATATGCAAGTTGCATTTGCCCAGTCAAATCTGGCAGGACGTGCCAAGACTTGGGCACTGGGGCTCAAGCTGCACGACCCATATGCGTTTGGGTCGTTGGAAGTCTTCAAGTCGCGGCTCAGACAAACGTTTGAACCGCCTAGAGCTGAGTTCAGGGCTCGAACCGAACTCTTGAAGCTCAAGCAGGGTAAGCGTGATGTGCACGCTTACGCTCAACATATACGACATCTTACGAGTTGTATAAGTTCCAATCCAGTGGATGAACACACGTTGGTTTCGGTGTTCATGCAGGGTCTTGCGGATGGTCCCGTCAAGACTCACCTGTTCCGGCTTGAACTAGATTCACTAGAACAAGCCATTTCCATTGCGGAGCAGGAAGACTTCAGTCTGAGACAGGCTCGCGCCAGCTCGACATCATATCGTCAACCGAGACGATATGACAACGGAGGTCCAGAGCCGATGGAACTCTGTTATGTAGAGAGTGAGAAGGTTCGCTCTACAGGCTACAAGAAGTTGCAGAGATGCAACAGATGTCAAAAGACAGGACACTACGCTTACGAGTGTAGTGCCCCTCGTCCAGTGTCTCGCGACACTGGGCGTAGTGACCGTCCACCCATGAGAAAGGGGCAGGGACGAGGGTCCGCAGTTGGTGCAAAGACGCAACAACGGGATGGACCGTCAAAAAACGGACAGGATCAGTAGGTGCGGAGCACCCTACTGATCCAGCAACGTCAAGAGAATTTGTAGGCCTCTTGATGAAGGTTGCTCCCAACACACAGACATTGTGCGTTGCTGCTCTAGGTAATGAGATCTCACTCATTACCTTGAAACTCGAAGTGACGAATAAGTTGTCCCTTCGAGCTCTAGTCGATTGTGGGGCGTCCAACAATTTTGTGCGACGCCAATCGCTAGAAGATGGTCACTTTAAATTCAGTGAATGTGACACACCTCCTACGAGGATGACGGTACGTCTTGCGACAGGCGCATCCGTAACCGTCATGAAGCGTATAGTGAAGATTCACTATACGCTAGAAGATACCCAATACGACGATGACTTTATCGTATTGGATTTGGATGACAAATTTGATGTCATCCTTGGAATACCGTGGCTCAGAAGGTACGAACCACGGGTAAACTGGCAACATCGGACAGTAACGATGCCTGCCGCTTGTTCATCAGATGGCCATCTGATGAACGTTTTGGAGCGTCCACAAGCGTGTGGATGTACTACGAGTGAGTGCGATGGCCTCACTTGTGGTACGGTCGTTAGTACGACTGCACAAAACCTTAGTGTACCAAACGGTTACACTTCGGAGCAAAGTTCCGGCGGCTGTGAGGAAACACAGGCTGCGCCGAAGGTCCACCACTCGAATAAGTCGGGTGGACTGGGACAAAGATGTATCCCTAGAGGGGAACATCTAGAAGAGAAACAATCGATCGCTCAGGTTAAGCGAAACGATAATCCTAGATCGACTGGAGAGTCTTTCGTAGAGGATCTCGCTGTGGTTGCGCAACCCCAGCTAGAGGAAGTAAAGGGAATAAGTCCCAAGATTACAAATACGGCGGAAATAAGTTCCCCGAAACCCGCGGGAATAAGTCCCCGGGAAGACGAAGGAATAAGTCCTTCGAAGCCTGAGGGAATAAGTCCCCAGGAAATGACAGAGACATTGAATGTCATAGTCAATAACGGATCATGTGTAGGCGCTTATACACTTGATCTGATTGCGCCTCCGAAGTTAACTTCGGAGATCACTCAGTTGCCAACGCTCGAACATAAAAGGTTCTTGCGTGATCTGCGTAGTGGCAAAGTCAAGCAGATCTGCATACTCGTCGCTGACGACGAGTATGTAACCGACATAAGGTCAGCAACAGTGTTTACTGAGAACGAGAGAGTTCTCAGTAGTTCATCTATGGACGAGAGTGTCCTAGATGAAAAGACACGAATTGAGCGATATGAGTCCCAATCATGGGAATCGCTCAAGGAAAATCCTCTCTATGAAGATTTGGTTGAATTCAAGGATGTATTCCCTGAAACTGTTCCGTGCGAATTACCGAAGGATAAAGGTATTCGACACGAAGTCGAGCTTAAACCAGGCTCGAAGTACTGCGTCATGAAGCAGTGGCCACTGCCTCGTGAACAAGTACTTGCGATCGACAAGTTCTTTGCCGATCGTTTAGCAGCGGGCCATGTGAGGGAATCAACTTCCCCACATAGCTCTCCGACCTTCTGTGTGCGAAAAGCAACAGGAGGGTGGCGGATAGTGCACGCGTTTAACAAATTGAACGCTGCAACGGTACCGGCTCAGACGCCGATACCGAGGAAGGACGTAATCATTGATGGTATGTCAAAGAGTACCATCTTTTCGTCCATGGATTTGATGGATGGCTTCTATCAAATCCTAATGCGGGAACGGGATATACCCTATACCGCAGTTAGCACGCCTAGCGGCAT